GGAGCAGTCAATTTCACAGATTTTTGTTTTTTGAAGTGTAATTAGGCCGCTTTATTGATCTCCGTTGTGAAATTATCTTGTGTGTGTTTTCGGCCATTTTCTGTTTCATTTCATGTTATTTCTACTTTTAACTTTCAGAGGAGTCATATGTGGCCAGGTCCTGTTAAACCTCTGAAGCTAAGTGGGGCAGGGTCTGGTTAGTGCTGTGATGGGAGACCTCTGGGAACAGCAGGTGCCACAGTGGGGCGGCTGTAAAGTGCCAAACTATGGTTGGGCCCTTTGGAAAGACACTTCCCCCACATTAGAATGAGTCTGGTGTGTGTGTGAATGGATGCTGATGGTGTGGACTGGTTGTCTTGCTTCTGCCAGTGTGCCTTAGGGCAGCTGTGGCTATAGTAGTAATTCATCACCACTGTGTTTGAAGTGAAAGAATAATGAGGCATCTTTGAGAGTTCAGAAAAGTGCAGTGTAAAACCCAGCCATTATTATTGATATTTATATTATTATTATCGGCTGCTTCTCTTTGGCAGTTAAAGCTTTAGGTCCTGGACTGGTTCCGAGTTGATTTGGTTTCCCACCTGAAAAGAGCTCGTTTTTCTTTGTAAATCTTTTTTGTCTGTGAAAGGCGTTATACAAATAAACTGTACTTACCCACATCGTTACCATAGCAACACACAGTTTACTCGCAGCCGTTAGCATTCGGTAGCATTTCAACCATAGACCGTAGACATTATTTCAACACACTTTGTTTTTGCTGTATTAAAGTTATAGCATAAACTGGTGAAAAACAAAAAAAACATTCTCTGATGGAATTTCTCAGAACTTCGTCGGTTTGAACAGGAGCAGTCCAAATGACGGCTCTGGGAGTTATAGAATCCCGGTGTCTCTGCAGAGGAAAGGGGATATTGTGTGTATTGTTACCAAAACAAAGTCGCTGGGTCGATATTGAACCCAGACAAACCCACATGTGTTTTGAACCAAAGCGAGGCCGCGATCGCAGACACCGGAGCCTCGCATCGTCTTTCACCGAGCCGCAGGATCTTTGTCCCGCCACATTCATAATACACTGTTCCATTCACTACCACTTTTACTTTAAAGCTGGGGTATCTAAGTTTTACGAACCACATGTGTCCACTGTTATTTTACTGCACTCAAGCCCAGACCATGGATCTATTATAATAACTGGATAGGGTATTGCTAGCTTGTAGCTGAAGGACCATGTGCTCGGGGGATTCTCGCGGTACTGGAGTCTAGACTAAATTTGGGCTACACAGAAATGTTCCCCATAGAACTCAATGTAAACTAAAACAGCTCGACCTCAGCTGACAGAGAACCTGACAGAGAACCTGCAGCTTTCATAAAGGTCTGATTTTGTGGGGATTTTCCCTTGTCATCCTGAACTTTTTTTCTGTTTAAATCCACACTTTAGTGCCACAAACTCTGCTCGTCTGGCTCTGGCTCTAACTCTCGCTCTGATGAACTGCTCTGATTGGTCAAAGCGTGGCCGAGCCCCTCTGTGGACGTGCATGAGAGACACACGTGTATTTGGCGCAATGCATCATGGGAGCTCGTCCACTGCACAGAACAAGGAGGACCAGACGATGCCCAAATACAGGCGAGTTTCCCATAGAGCTTTGCAAGTTCCGCTAATATGTCAGCGACCGTGCCGGCACAAAGCGCCACTGAGCACAACCGTTCATAGCTACAGATTATATATTTATTACACTATAATATACAGGATTTTACACTAGCTTCTTTATTATGCTAAAGCTAGAGATTTTATACTCCTGGCTCTTTACTCAGCTCTACTCTGGTTGGAACCTGGTTGCTCTTCCATCACACATTAGTATCTGGTACCATATCTGTAATGTATTAATACATACAGCCATGTGTGGGACCGTAAGTACAATGGGAACAATACAATGGGAACTACTTTATCTGGAGTATGTGCGCGGCGCAGACGCAATGAGTTCTCTGGTGGTGCAGTGATCTGTGCACCCGTGACGGCACCTGTGGAGTAAAGACAAGATCTACAAAACGTTTTCAGAGTCTCTGTACGTTCAAAGCGTATGCACTGTACAATAAGTAAACAATTGCTAAAAAAGGGAAAATTATCTCTTTTTAAAAAGATACACACCCCTGAGAAAATAAAGATGAGATCAGATATTCCTTTATTCGTCTCACAGTGGAGAATTAAAGTAGTACTAGAATTTAATATGCTGCTATCCAGAATACATAACTACAATATGTGTTTATAATATTTTGGGTGTTCATTTTGATATGTTCAGATGAATTATGTAAAAAAAAGGCTTTGAAGTGGCACCAAGCCCCGGCGATCCAAGATGGCGCCCTATTCAAATGAATGGTTGTGCTCAGTGGCGCTTTGTGACGGCATGGGGGCTGAAAGATTAGCGGAAGTTGCCTGAAACTCTCAAAGATCTATGGGAAACTCGCCTGTATTTGGGCATCGTCTGGTCCTCCCAGTTCTGCGCAGTGGATGATCTCCCATAATGCATTGCTCCAAACACGCGTGTGTGGGTCTCACACCGGGTCTCACGCACGTGCACAGAGGGGCTCGGCCGCGCTCTGACCAATCAGAGCAGTTCATCAGAGCGGGAGTTAGAGCGAGAGCCAGACGAGCAGAGTTTGTGGCACTAAAGTGTGGATTTAAACAAAACCGAAGGATTTAAGAAGAAAAAAAGTTCAGGATGACAAGGGACACTAAAATCCCCACAAAATCCGATCTTTATTAAAGCTGCAGGTTCTCTGTCAGCTGAGGTCGAGCTGTTTTAATATGCATTGAGTTCTATGGGGAAAATTTCTGGGTAGCCCGCGTGAATTTAGTCTGGTTTAGTCTGGTTCAGTCTGCAGTACCGCGAGAATCCCCTGAGCACGTGAGTTATTCAGCTACAAGCTAGTAATACCCTATCCAGTTAATACAATACATCCATGAGTGGCACCTTTTCACAAACACTAGGGGGCGCCAAAATGGCGGCGATGACGTAGCAGAATGACCTCTCACAGCAGCAGCAGTCTGGGCTGAATCTGTAGGAGGTTTCACTGTCATCTGAACAAGGTATAAACATATTTGCATCAGTTTTGTACATAATAGTGTGCAACTCTTTTAACCTTTTAGCCTTATTTGTGAGATTCAAGCTAATTAGTGTTGGGCAAGTTAGCTAACTCTACTTGATATCATAAAACATGCTAACAAGGCTAATATTCGTTTTTACATTATGCCAGTCTAGGGTTGCCAACCGTCCCTTGAAATACGGAATTGTCCCGTATTATAGAAAAACTATGTGCGTCCCGTATTGAACTGATACGGGACGGCTTTTGTCCCGTATTTTCAGAGTCGCCTTAAATGCATCACTCACTCACTGCATGTCACACAAGCGACACACGCACACACAGTAATCACAGTTTAAGCGTCTACCTTTCGGCCAAACAGTGTCAAAGGGGGCGTAGGCTTGATCACATCCATGGGTTTACCCTTACTGTTGACAAGTGACAGCGTGGGCCGTGCATGGATCTATGGGGGCTGTGCCCGCAGCATCATCCTGGCAGAAGTCTGGTAAAGTAGCGTCATATTCCCAGATTCGGACTTCCGCGGTCAATAGCTCACGGAAGTTACTTTGTTAAACAAAAGTAATTTGCTAAAATGATCACCTCTATGTTGATTTTTCAAATCCAATGCGCTGTTTTTAATGCAGAGAAATCCATTGAATCCAGTGCACTGCAAGCGCCGAGAAAAGCGCTTAGGGACCGTCAACCAATGTCAATACCAGCTTTGTAAACAAAAAATAGCTTTTACTGAAGCCATGTACACGCACTAAACTCTCAGACACTATAAATAATGACCATATCTAACTGCTACAGACTTTGATTTCAACATTTGTGAGTTTTCTTTTACAGTAAATGGTCTTTACTGTAACATACATAAATAATGTATGTTACAGCGTTTGTCTTTTTATATGTTTTATTACTAATAAGAATGCATGAAGTCCTTAACCAGCCAAAGAGTTCCACCTATTTATGACATTTATTTTTTGCCTAAGAATTTTTTTGATTTTTATATTTAGCCAATAAATTTATATGTAGCCAATAAATTACATTCTAAAAATGGGATTATGAAATTCCATTATTCCTGTGTAGATTTGTTCATTGCTATTCACCCGTTGTCCTATTGTCTGTTTCATGGTACGATGACGGGATCTCTGAGCCTGGCCTCCTCCATCTACACCTGCGGACTGCCCCGCCCGACCCGCCTGGGAGTGCTTCGGTCCTGCACCGGACCTGTCCACGTTCAGCGTCCACTGGTCCACGTTCTGTAGCTAGCTTAGGTCCTAGATCATTAGCCTGTCCGTCCGGAGGAGCGGATCCCTTTCTCATATGGGTCTCCCTCCCTGTGGGTTTCCCTAGTTCTCCCCAAGGTTTCTCACTTTTTCCCACTGGGTTTTTTAAGAGTTTTTCCTTGTCGATGCAGGAGGGTCTTGTTGGACAGTTAGTGTCCAACAGAAAGGATTGGTGATGATCAGGACACTTTAGCATTCTACAACATGTATGGACATTTTCTTCTGTGTGTGCTTTATATTCTTCATGTGTTTTAACTGTTGATTCTCTGACCTGTGTTGGTGATTTCAATGGTTTTGTTAAGTCTCTGAGATGACTTCTGTTGTGACCTAGGGCTATACAAGAATAAATTGTATTGTATTGTATTGAAATTAGGACTAAAAAGTGCTCAACCCGATCCACCCAAATGGTGTCCCTTATTTTTTTGTTCTCAAGTTGGCAACCCTACGCCAGTCTCACTTTGGTTGCCTTAGATTTATTTACCACAATGTACATTGTAATATTCAAAAATGCTAACACCTATTAACGGTTTAATTATCATTTTTATCAATGATTGCATCACATGTAGTCTATGTTTTCAACTTCTGCAGCTTTTTGTTCATAAAAGTAAAATATTTATTTAATTCAAGTTATTTTTATTAGCATTTATGGATATTACTCTCTCCCCCCTCACCTCTGGAACTCTCTCCCCTCTCACCTCTGGAACTCTCTCCCCCCTCACCTCTGGAACTCTCTCCCCCCTCACCTCTGGAACTCTCTCCCCCCTCACCTCTGGAACTCTCTCCCCCCTCACCTCTGGAACTCTCTCCCCCCTCACCTCTGCAACTCTCTCCCCTCTCCTCACCTCTGGAACTCTCTCCCCCCTCACCTCTGGAACTCTCTCCCCCCTCACCTCTGGAACTCTCTCCCCCCTCACCTCTGGAACTCTCTCCCCCCTCACCTCTGCAACTCTCTCCCCCCTCACCTCTGGAACTCTCTCCCCCCTGAAGGGGTTCCCCCCTCAAGTTAAAGAAAAGTAGTTTATTGATTACAAAAATGAGGGTAAAAATATAACGAAAAGGGATTTCTGGTCACATTAAAGGCAGGAGTTGTACACATATCATTCAAATCATACATTTAACAAAGAACAGTCTTACTTTGTAGGAGCGTAGAGGATGGAGAAAGGATTTGGGTTGGGGATCAGCCCACGTGGTTTCTTTGTCTGGCAGGCGGGAGGTACAAAGCCAGCGAGTTGGTCCAGCTGCTGGTCCACGCGTATGCAGCTCAGTCCGGAATGGGCTGCACGCGTATAGTCCAGAGCCAAGGAAAGAGGCTGGTGATGAAATGGTTCGTCCCAACAGAAAATGGTTTCGTAAGGTCCCGAGCGATTTAGGGAGGTTGCGAATAGTGATTTCAGGAGAAGGCAAGAGGAAGTCTCTAGGCGAGTGGAGAGACTTCTGAAGGGGCGTGTCCATGTCTTCCCTCTCTGTGGACACAACCCTTCACACCGGACAATTTTGCAAAGGAGACACACAGGATTGATGCGAATGATCACAACACATGTACACACACACACCGTGTATTTACATCACAGACATTAAACACACGAGTAAGGTCCGTAACGTTAATATCATTGAGTAATGTCCCCTTTGAATGTTCGTCTTGGGTGCGGTAGCGTCCAGTGTCCGCTAGGGAGCGTCAGAGGGCCGCGGGTGGACCCCTTGGTCCGTGGAATGCATTGTGACAATGCTGATTTGTATCAGCTCCTCTGTTAACATGAAGAAGGCACCAGATGGGTATCCCGCTGTTTTTTATGGGTCCGTCTGGAGTCCGTAATCCTCATGCTCCTGTGGCTGAACCCCATGGTTCCTTTGAAGTTGCGGTGAAGCATTATCTCCATTTGGTCACTGGTTCACAGAGAAAACAGGCCCGGCCGGTCCTGTCCTCCGTTTTAACCTTACATACCCCCCCCACGGCAGAGATGCACCTTCCGACAAGGTGCATGTCATGTCGGATATGCCGTGAGGGCGTCCTCAGTCGGTCGTCTCGCCTGTTCGGGTGTTAGTGTACAATTTGTGGTGACATGTTACAGCATTCCCGTCTCAATGTGACTCAGTAGCCCTGCAGGCTAGTTCTAACCGGGATCAGGGGTTTTAGGGAGTGAGTTCCGGCCGTGAACTCTAAGGTTTGGGCCGGTGCGCCTGACTCCTGGGTCTCTTGGTCTGGAAGACTCAAAGTTCCAAGCCAAGAGAGTAGCAGGAGTTTCTACTTTAGGGGGCTAGGATACAAAAATAGGAAACTTCCAAAATCAAAAAGGGTGGCTGTCTTGGCAGCGGGTAGGAGCGTCATTAAGGCACTCGATGGTGAGGGGTTCCCATCTTGCTCGTTCTAAAAGGGGAGTGTAAGGGTTACACGAATATATGACGTAGCAAGTGGGAATTTAATTACAAGGGACATTTCCTGTATATAAACGGGATGACAGGTGTGATTATCTAGGAGACTGATTAGGCATCGAGGTAGATTGGTTGGGTCTGAGCTGGTGACTCTTAATGGGGTTTTAGGCCCTTGGTTCACCTTCTGTGATAAGAAGAGTGACCGTTTCGAGTGGGTGGCTTTGGGGGTCCTCGTACTCTGATTCGTTGACTTGGGGGCGCCGACTCAAATTGCCACGCTCGACGGCGCTGTCGCCCCGATTTGGTCGTCTCCGGGTCTGTCTCGTCATTGCCTCCGTGTACCTGTTGAAACTATCGCGGAGTCGTCTAACTCGTCTATTTAGGACGAAGGCCGTGGCTACGGCCAGGCCGTACCCGAGTCCTACCGCGATGGCCATGACTGTGTCGGGGGCGGCCCAGGAGTAGGCTACTGGTTGGTGGTGGATGATCGGTCGCTTGGCAATCTCTTGAAGGAGGCTGTCTACGACTGTAACGTCAACGGTTTGTGCCCCCTCGTAGGTGGCTTGGACTAGGGTAGAGGGTTGAAGTTCCAAGGCCCTTTTCTCAAAGAACTCTGGTACCTCGACCTCTGCCTCGTACTGGTTTGGGTACAGGTGGTATAGTGCCAGGTCAGCACGAGAAGGAAAGTGGGCCACATGTTCTGCAAGGCGTGAAACAACTGTTAGGGGTTAGACAGAGACAGAGAGAGAGAGAGTCGATTAGTGCAGCCGAGAAGAGTGTTAGTGAGTGCTGGGCTAATCGTGTTTGAGGTCACCTGGTGTGTTCCTAACTGGGGTTTGAAGTGTGCCCTGCTTGTCCCATGGGGCTTTGTTTGTGTGGTTTGGTTTGGCTGTAACGGGCCCATCTGAGGGTGGGCTCTCTACCTTTTGTGACCTCGATTTGGTGCACTGCGGTTGAGAGTTTGTTTCCCACCCTGTATGGTCTTGACCAGCGGGGTAGCGATTTCCGGCGTAGTCTGGTGGGGCCGGTCCCCGCGTGTCCTGGGGAGTGTGCCAAGGTGTAATACCATACCTGGTTTTTGACCTGGGGGTGGTCCTGCGGGTCGGTCCTGTATTGGTTTGTCCTCCGGCGCCGGGGGAGTTTCACGTTCTCGTCACTCCGGTTTGGGGATACATACCTTAGTATTTTGGTCCCCGTCCGGTCCGTTGTTTCCACCTGTTGTGGTGCCTGACGTGTGTCATGGGCGTGTGCCAACATTACCCCCCCCTGCTTCGAGGCACCACGAGTACCGATGAAGTGAGTGTATCGGAAGCAGAGTCTAACAGCCCATGGCGTGTCGGTAGTATGTCCCCAGCTCGGCCGGAGATTCCGAGCGTCGTGTCGATCGTGACGTCGAAGGGGCGTTCTAGTGTGGGGTTGTCGTGTCGGAGGGAGGCTAAGTCCGACCTGTCGAGGTCGGGGGCCGTCCCCCTCCAGTCCGGGTAGTCCCGTTGGCCTAGGGTTAAGTCCTGGCGTGCGTCAGGGGGGGTGCCGCGGGGTTGTCCTCCATGATTGGGGAGGTCCCCGGCGTTCCCATTGTGGGTCACTGGCCATTGTGTCGCAGCATATGCGGACGGCCCAGGCTTGGGGCACTGTAAGTCGTGTGGTCCATGTAGCATGTTCAGATGTGGGCCAGGGGGGTCGTTGTAGGTTTGTCCGCTATGTTGAGGGCGGGCCCTTTCGTCCCAATGGCTGGAGTCTGAGACATGTCTCGTATGGACGTCAGGTGGGCCAGGGTCATGGGTCGGATAGTCATGTTGTCTGTGTCGCATGTCCATGTGTGTTCCCGGAGGGGCGTCGTGGGGGTCGCAGTGGTCGACGTGTCCAATGTTGGGTTGTGTGTTGTTCCTATGACCTTGATTTTGGTCTTTTCCCGTCATGATACTTACCATTTCGGCCACGCTCCGGCGTTCACAGTTGGACGATGGTTCGCCGCGGTCGGAGCGAGGGGAGTGTGGGCCGGAGGTAGTGTCACGGCCGGTTCCGTTCGAAATAGCGGTCCTGATTTCCGCTGCGCGATCAAGATCCATGGTCGCGCTTGGAGTCATGCTCAGTCCCTGTTTGTGGTCCCTACTTACCTGTTGGATTTGTTGTAAGCGGGTCGCGACGGTTTTCCTAGTTTCCGCCAGTTGTCGTTCCAGGTCACTCACTGTGTTTTGGAGCCTTGCTTTCTGGGCTTCGGAGTCGCGCAAGGTTATCCTGGAGATTATGGCCAGTCGTCCTAGCCACTGGGTTAGGGTCTTACCTTGGAGTTTCGTCGTAGTAGCTTCGGATGCTAACATGGAGGTAGCATCTTGTAAGTCAGAGAGTGAGCTGTGCTCAAGCGTGTCGTAGCCCCCTGGGAATAACTTCTCTGTGAGGTCTCGCAGAAAGTTATCCACTATGCCGTGTCCTTCTGAGACACCGTCGTGCTTGCTCGGTCGTGGCGAGTTTCCGCCATCGATTTCCATATTTGTGTGGGTGAGTGTATGCGAGGATGACTTGGAACGTGTTGTGTACGACACGGTGGGAGGAGGGAAAGGAGGGAAGCAGTGCTATAGAGAGGGTAGTTTAGCTGTTGGTCGTGTGGTGGTGTAGAACCTTGGTGTGTGTCAAAACCGTGACTACAGCGTCCTCTCCGTGTGGCGGTGTATGCGAGTAGGCGGCCTAGGGCAGGGGCCGGGCGTTAGTACTTCTTCACCTGTGTGTCAACGGAGAGCGTTGGGGTTAGTGGCGTTGGCGCACGTAGGGTTAGCAGTGGCGCCGGCGGCAGCAGCAGTATTAGGGCGCGGCGTTAATCGCAGCGGTAGACGCGGCGTAAGAGACGCCGCGTGGGATGCACCTGCGTGGGAGACACACTTGCGTTTGTCGCGCACTTGCGTTTGTCGCGCACTTGCGTTTGTCGCGCACTTGCGTTTGTCGCGCACTTGCGTTTGTCGCGCACTTGCGTTTGTCGCGCACTTGCGTTTGTCGCGCACTTGCGTTTGTCTCGCACTTGCGTTTGTCTCGCACTTGCGTTTGTCTCCGACTTGCGTTTGTCTCGCACTTGCGTTTGTCTCGCACTTGCGTTTGTCTCGCACTTGCGTTTGTCTCGCACTTGCGTTTGTCTCGCACTTGCGTTTGTCTCGCACTTGCGTTTGTCTCGCACTTGCGTTTTGTCTCGCACTTGCGTTTGTCTCGCACTTGCGTTTGTCTCGCACTTGCGTTTGTCTCGCAGCACTTGCGTTTGTCACGCACTTGCGTTTGTCGCGCACTTGCGTTTGTCGCGCACTTGCGTTTGTCGCGCACTTGCGTTTGTGTCGCACTTGCGTTTGTGACGCACTTGCAGCGCAGCTGTTGCGTTTGAGACGCACCAGCGGCGTTTGAGACGCAGCGTGTAAGCAGTAGCAAAAGGCAGCAGGCTGAGGCAGGGCAATGCAGTTTTAGTCACAGTGAGGGTTAGAAATAGAGTATTAGTTTTGGTGTAGTAAATATTATAAACACATATTGTAGTTATATATTCTGGATAGCAGCATATTAAATTCTAGTACTACTTTAAACTAATTTGCACAAAGATGTAAAAAACTGGATAAATGTTTTTTTTTTATCAACTTAAATAAGCCTTGTTCGGGATTTTAAGTATGTACCGGTCAGTGTTTTGTTTTGATGGTCGACATTGAGTTCAACAAAGGATTACAAAGACATAACAAACAGCTCCAGATATGTTTTTGATGTGGATATGAATATGTAAAATGATTAAAATCTCTAAAAAGTTTATGTTGAATGATGAAGGCCCTTTGTTAACAATTTACTTGGAAAAAAATTGGCAAAACTAAAATATAAGTACATAAACCGATTAATCGATTAGTCGTAAAAATAATCGCCTGATTAATCGTTTATCAAAATAATCGTTAGTTGCAGCCCTATTTTTTTCCCAACTCCAGATAACAATATTGTCACGATATCTTCAAAATCAATCATTTTTATCTTTGCAAAACATGCACAAACATATATTAACATTAAAAATCAAATTCAAGTAACACAGGAAGGCTCAATATTTACTGAAATGTAAATACAGCAGTGATTGGCTTTTTAGGCATTTAACGAATGAACAGCTTGCCTGATCTAATTGTAATATGTATTGGAGATATGTAACAAAAAAAGCCTGAGTGTGACGTGTTTATATGATCCATTCATTCACAGAAACATCACAGTGAACTCTCAGGAGACCCGGAGGAGCACGGCCGTCAGCCTCACGCTCCGGGACGAGGGAAGTTTGTGCCCGCGGAGCTGTCCGAGGCCGTGGAGAGAGCTCGCCGCCGCCGCGAGGAGGAGGAGCGCCGATTGCGAGATGAACGCCTGGCCGCCTGTGCCGAAAAACTGAAAAAACTCGACGAAAAGTTTGGCAAGATCGAGAGGCAGACGTCCAGGACAGACGAGGCCTACGACGTCGAGGGGCGGGAGGTCACTCTCTCTCCCAACAGAGACCCGAGCAAAGGCCATCAGGACCCCTGGCCCTACAGCACAAAAGGTCTTTATTTTATTTTATTTATTTTATTTATTTTATTTATTTTATTTATTTTATTTATTTTATTTAAATTGTGGACATGACAATACATCATATGTTAAAATTACAATTACTGGTTCAAATAATTGTAGTCCTTTCACACAAATGAAAAGAGAGCGAGACCAGAGAGAGGGAGAGACCAGAGAGGGAGGGAGAGACCAGAGAGGGAGGGAGAGACCAGAGAGGGAGGGAGAGACCAGAGAGGGAGGGAGAGACCAGAGAGAGAGGGAGAGACCAGAGAGGGAGGGAGAGACCAGAGAGGGAGGGAGAGACCAGAGAGGGAGGGAGAGACCAGAGAGGGAGGGAGAGACCAGAGAGGGAGGGAGAGACCAGAGAGGGAGGGAGAGACCAGAGAGGGAGGGAGAGACCAGAGAGGGAGGGAGAGACCAGAGAGGGAGGGAGAGACCAGAGAGGGAGGGAGAGACCAGAGAGGGAGGGAGAGACCAGAGAGGGAGGGAGAGACCAGAGAGAGGGAGAGACCAGAGAGGGAGGGAGAGACCAGAGAGGGAGGGAGAGACCAGAGAGGGAGGGAGAGACCAGAGAGGGAGGGAGAGACCAGAGAGGGAGACACCAGAGAGAGGGAGAGAGGGGGAGAGACCAGAGAGAGGGAGAGACCAGAGGAGAGACCAGAGAGGGAGGGAGAGACCAGAGAGAGGGGGAGAGACCAGAGAGGGAGGGAGAAACCAGAGAGAGGGGGAGAGACCAGAGAGGGAGGGAGAGACCAGAGAGAGAGGGAGAGACCAGAGAGAGAGGGAGAGACCAGAGAGAGAGGGAGAGACCAGAGAGAGAGGGAGAGACCAGAGAGAGAGGGAGAGACCAGAGAGAGGGAGAGAGGGAGAGACCAGAGAGAGGGAGAGACCAGAGAGAGACCAGAGAGAGGGGGGAGAGACCAGAGAGGGAGGGAGAGACCAGAGAGGGAGGGAGAGACCAGAGAGGGAGGGAGAGACCAGAGAGGGAGGGAGAGACCAGAGAGAGGGGAGGGAGAGACCAGAGAGGGAGGGAGAGACCAGAGAGAGAGGGAGAGACCAGAGAGAGAGGGAGAGACCAGAGAGAGAGGGAGAGACCAGAGAGAGAGGGAGAGACCAGAGAGAGAGGGAGAGACCAGAGAGGGGAGAGAGAGACCAGAGAGGGAGGGAGAGACCAGAGAGGGAGGGAGAGACCAGAGAGGGAGGGAGAGACCAAGAGGAGGGAGAGACCAGAGAGGAGGAGAGACCAGAGAGGGAGGGAGAGACCAGAGAGGGAGGGAGAGACCAGAGAGAGAGGGAGAGACCAGAGAGAGAGGGAGAGACCAGAGAGAGAGGGAGAGACCAGAGAGAGAGAGAGGGAGAGACCAGAGAGAGAGGGAGAGACCAGAGAGAGGGAGAGGGGAGAGACCAGAGAGAGGGAGAGACCAGAGAGAGACCAGAGAGAGGGGGAGAGACCAGAGAGAGGGGGAGAGACCAGAGAGGGAGGGAGAGACCAGAGAGGGAGGGAGAGACCAGAGAGGGAGGGAGAGACCAGAGAGGGAGGGAGAGACCAGAGAGGGAGGGAGAGACCAGAGAGGGAGGGAGAGACCAGAGAGGAGGGAGGGAGAGGGGAGAGACCAGAGGGAGAGGGGAGAGACCAGAGAGAGGGGAGAGACCAGAGAGAGAGGGAGAGACCAGAGAGAGAAGGAGAGACCAGAGAGAGAGGGAGAGACCAGAGAGTGAGGGAGAGACCAGAGAGTGAGGGAGAGACCAGAGAGTGAGGGAGAGACCAGAGAGAGCGGGAGAGAGAGACCATATTTCTTTCTTTTCCGTCACTTCTAACAACGCCGTGTTCCTCTCCGTCATCTCCAGATGGACTCGAGAGCGCCGCAGATAACGCCTCTGCACATAGTTACCAGGAGGAGTCCGGCTTTTCTGGTTTCCGTGGAAGCGACGAGGAAGGTCTGGAGCCGCTGTCCCCCGCAGAAGACCTCGCAGGCCGCACCATCGCCAAACCAGTCCCTCCCAGGTTTCAGAAGCAGCCACATCACCAGCAACAGGTGAAGGCACTAAGAAAGTTTCAGATTCAGAAGTATTGGGTTCTTCTATAAAAAGAATTGTCTAAAAAGAAGAAAAGATGAAAAAAAGAATTGTTTCAGATTCAATTTATTCGCCATTTGCAGAAAATAATTACAGAGACTGAGCTGAAAGAAGCTGTTAGCATGTTAGCGTGTTAGCATATCCAGATGTCCTGCAGCCAACAATATCTTCTGCCAGAGGGAGGAAGCTGGAACATGGCTTTTCCAGCGGCCAGAAGAGTCAGCGATTCTTCTAAGACCTGTTCTCCTTTATAACACTAGAACTCCCAGAGCAGTCAAATTGACGGTTTGAAGTTCTGGATGCGCAATTTCTCTGCATATGTACATTTTGTGATCTTTATAACGTTGAGCTATTTTCTATCTATATGTAGTGTTTATCTATGTTAACCCAGTGCCTGCCATTGAGTCAAACGTCCCTCGACTCGATCGGGGATCACAGGAGAACGATACAAGCTAAAAACAAACGTCTTTTTGCTGCTGAAAGTAGACAGTCCAGTCTTTCCGAACCTGGAATGTCACATGTTTATAGTGCACAATATTCTGTGGGTCTTAAAAATCCTCAAAATCGGCTGACAGGCAATGAGAATAATTCTTTAAATTCAATTGAAATGTGAGTAGTTCTACCTTTTAACTCCCTTCCTACTTGCCCCTAGTGTTCTAACTGACAGTGATTGGCCAGAGTTGTTGTAGGTTGCTAGGATACTGCACCAGATACTAAAGAGTAATTGAAACACACCCAGGTAGAGTAGAGCCGAGTAGAGTAGGGCCAAGTACGGCTGGTGGAAACGGGGCTTTCGAAACTCATGAAAGCAGCAGAGATGGGTCTGAGAATTGTAAAATGAAGTAACTAAGCTGTTTTTGTTGTTGTTTTAAACCAGGAACAATCATACAAAATGCAGCACTGGCAACAATCCGGCCACACCTCCACCACCGGCTCCAACCACGCCCAGAGAGGTTACTACCCGCCGCACGTCCTCGGCTTCGACCCTCGCTGGATGATGATGCCTCCGTACATGGATCCACGCATGAACCAAAGCAGATCTGTGGAGTATTACTCGTCCTCAGGTCAGTGGAGCTCGCCGGACATCTGTGAAGGCTGATGATTTTAAAATACAGTCGCACACAGACAGACATAGTTCAAGCGCCCTTTATACATTGGAGAGACATGTATTTAGAGGTCTGTGCACACGCCTCATCGAGCAAGTCTGACCTAGGACAAGAAAGGGAACCAACAGAAAACAAAAGAACAATGAGACAAGACGGCACGGTGACTAGCACTCTCGCCTCTCAGCAAGAAGCTCCTAGGTTCGAATCCCGGTCGGTCCATGGCCTTTCTGAGTGGAGTTTGCATGTTCTCCCCGTTTGCAGTAAAATCACGTTGGAATAAAATTGCAAAAGTCCCCAATGTGCACCAGACAAGTACATAAACTTGTGATGCAACACTGACATTTCCCCACTGTGGAACGAAGGGTCTCTTCATCTCCATCTTGTTGTTTTTAGGGATGATGAAACCCATGATTGCGCAGGATCACAGCCCCCTGTCGGACGAAAGCTGTCACTCAAGTTTGCACCAGGAGAGGAGGGTGCCGTCCGAGTCCTGCACCATCTGGAACCAGGAAGGATACCCCCTCCGCAGCTTCACTCCCCCCTATCAGCGACAACACGAGGGGTCCGAGAGTCTGCGCCGAGACGAAAGGCAAGTCTTGTCTCTTCTGATAATGTTGGTAAGCACTGTGCACTTTTTCAATTAACTGTATTCTATGTTTTCTCTTAAAAGGGGTGACATGCCCTGCCCCCAACATGATCCTTACGAGGAGAGAGCTAATAAAGATCGCCTGGACCGTCTGCAGGAGAATATGCCTTGTCATTCATACCACAACAGAGGGCCAGACCGAGAACACAGGCACCATGATGAATTACTCTCTCCCGCTCACCCGCCCCATCATGCAGACGTGGAATATCAAAGAGGGGAGCACAGAGAGAAGTACATCAGAGAGGCAGTAGAGTCGCATGACGAGGCACAAGACAAGGATCTTTGGAAGAGGGAATCGTTGAAAAAAGACAATAGTCAATGGTCTGAACCTAGCTCCAGCTGCAGCAGCGTCGGGCACTCCTCTGAGACGAGTGGACGAATGCTAACCCGCAGGACTGGACCCATCAAAAAGCCCATTCTCAAAGCTCTAAAAGTAGAAGATAAAGAGAACGAGAAGCCCAAATCGGAGCCTGACGAGAAGCCTGTACCGTATCGCCTTGAAAAAGAAGTCCTCACCAATGTGTATGACCTGAAGAAGGACAACCAGCCTGCTAACAGCCGCCGCTCGGCCTCGCCTGCGGAAAAACAACCAGAGGAGCGTTCGCGTCTCTCTCCAGCCCCTGTCAAAACTGAGAAACAGTTGAGCACCCAGAAGGAAGATTTTACAAAGGACAACAGCTGGGAGAACTGCAAGAGTCAAGCGTCCAGAGACAGCTATGAAAACCCAGAACCGCAATTGCATCGACGCAATAATTGGATATTTATTGATGAAGAGCAAGCCTTCGGAGGGGGGAGGGGCAGAGGTGGCAGTCGCGGCTTTAGGGAATTCAACTCTCGAGGCGGCGGTAGAGGTGGCAGACCTGGAGACGGCCTCAGAGGAACGTACAACAACAACAACACGACTGGAAGCGTCCCTCACCGGGCGGGCAGAGGCCGAGCGGTGCCCAGAGATCACGTAAAGATAGAAGAGTTCCAGAGGGGGAAGCCACGGCGACGGAATGTCAGCGAAACCTTAAGCGAAGCGTCAGAGTACGAAGAGATGCCCAAGAGACGTCGTCAGAAAGGCTCGGAGAATACAGAACTGAACACAGAGAGTGACGTACGCAAAGCTGATCGTGATTCTTGGAGATCGAACAAGGTGTATACTGACGAACAGCCGCCCTCCGACTCCAGAGACAAGGCTAAAGCTAGGGCTATCGGGGCTCGCGCTCTCCCCCCGAGGCTCAACGTCACCGGAGGCTACAATCGAGGTGGTTACGGTGGCACCAGAGACATCGCCTCTTGGAGGGGCAGAGGAGGTCAGTTCGCTAACAGCGGCGGGGTAATGCAAGAAAACGGGTACGACCCTGGACATGAGAATCCATACTCTCGCAGATCTGCTGTCGAACGCGAGAACCTGAAATACCCGCCAAAATTAGGAGTTCCCCTGAATGAGAACGGCACAGAAGATCGCGAGGGGGAGTACTACTTGGATAACGAGAACCCAGACAGACAGGTCTTGAGGAGACGAAGGCCCCCGCGTCAAGACAAGCCCCCACGCTTCCGAAGGTTAAGGCAAGAGCGAGAGCCGGGGTCAAACCAATGGGCGAGCGATGAGTATTTGAACGGCGATGTTTCGAACTGGCCTGCGCGAACCAAAGGCGACGAAGGCTGGCCCAGTGGACACTACCCTACAGGACGGTCAGGGCAGCACGGTCAGGCAGAAGACTGGGAGACCGGGTCCGACAACAGTGACTTTGGAGACTGGAGGGATAAGAGGACTGGTGGAGGAGGTGGTGGCGCGGCTCAGCAAGGCCTCACCGAGATCCCATCAGACATAAGTCACGGTGAAGCAGGTTTCAACGAGAAAAGGGAACTCTCCAAGAGAAGCTTCTCCAGTCAGAGACCCCTCGTGGACCGGCAGAACAGGAAAGGAGAGCAGCCTCTGATGGAGACAAACAAGATCTCACGTACACCGGAAAATCTCCCCCCAACTTCGTCCAACAGAAGTGACAATTGGCCAAATGGAAATGTATCTTGTAGGAGGTATTGCAACTAATGCTTTTACACACACACACCTGAGCGAATACTTATATATATATATATAAATGTGTTTGTAATTGCCTTCTTTTGTGTTTTTCTTAGAACTCTGGATGAGCCTGGATCAGTGTATGGCCTCGACCAGTCTGAGGACAGGCACTCCAATGACTCAGCTGGGAAGAAACTAAACAAGGACCTGAAGCAAGGACCTGGGAAGACCGACATCCCGTCTCTGTCACAATACGAGCTCGGCAGCTACCAAAGTGAGTGGCGTCTTTAGAATTCTTTTGTGAATTTAACAGGACGTGTGTTTGAACCCGTTGTGTTTTGCCAATAGTTGAAACTGACACAGGATTACCAGTCCCAAGCTCCGATAGTTACCAAGAAGCATTGTCTAAGAAGCAGCGACATCCACCGGAGGAAGATCGGAGGAGAAAGGAACAGGGGGCAACAGTGAGTTTAATCTCAAACCTCCATCTATCTTTAGTCTGATTGGCAATTGTGTTTAGTTTATTCATCAAAAGGTACTTAAAATATTTCTAATCCTGTATGGTAAGGGTTGCAAAATTCCGGGACTTTTCAAAAATGAAAACTTTCCATTGGAATTTAAGGGAATTTTACTGTAATACATGGGAATTAACTGGGAATTTTTGACAAATGAAGTTTGGCTCTTTTTATAGGGAAATTAAATATATTTTAGCAAAATCTTGATTAAAACAAACAGATGCCATTCAAATACACTGGAATATCCATGTCATTCCTCAATAACTTAGCTATGGAGACCACGCCCCCTGCTGGCCATGTGCCTCCTTCACATGTACAGAAGAGGACTTTTGAGACCAAATATTTGTCTCAATAAAGTGAAGAAAGCTTTGAACTCTTTAAAGACCTTATGCCGGGTTTGATTTATTTAGAAATACAGTTTTAATACCATTTTATATTAGAAGAGAACTACTAAAGGTTTCAAAATCAGTTTGAAATAACCCCATAGCAACGCCCTTAGAGACGAAAAAACTTCACAGCCCTTGGTGACGTCAGTGTGGGTACGTTTCAACGCTGTAAGTTGTTTACAATTTGGTATTCGTTCTTTTTTCGCGGATATTCAAGAGTCCAGTGGTTGTGTCGATGCCCTGTCAATCCAGATACTGGGGTTCAAATCCCACCTCAGACACATTTTCACTCTCAAAACGGCAATTTATGTGTAGTGAGCAATTGTCACCTGTAGAGGGCAGTATTGTGTTGGGCATCAGTGGAGAGAAGAGAGAAAAGGCAGTCCTGTGGCATAGATCCATGGTTTTCAATGCATGGGCGTTACCCGCTGTGACGTCACACACAGGTTAGAGCATAGACAACTTAAATTCATGAAAAACACGTTCTTTTTATAAAATATAGGATTTTTTTTGCCGGAATCTCTTTCAGATTGACATTGTCATGCAATTTTGATATCCACATTTTTTTTTTTTTAAACCCGGCATAAGGTCTTTAAGCAATTTAAAAGTCTAAAAGTTAATTTTGTCTTCAGAATTTAAAAATCTGTTGAAGCTCAATTTGGATGTTTTATTATGACTCCTCTTTTTATTTATGCTCTAAAATGATACAATTGAATTACATTAGAATTAATTCCCAGCTATGGAATATTCCCAAAATTCCCCCAGCTTAACCTCCCATAGAAAATCCCCAGACACCTTCCAGAAAATCACCTCAGATGCTCCGCCCCTTTGCAGCCCTGTGTTGGTGATGAAGGTGGTGATGACCAAAGGGTATGTCTCTTCCAGATGCCCGTGAAGAGCAGGGTGATGGCGTCCAAGATCCCGCCACGCTTCGCCAAAAAACAAGGAAGTATGACGATGGAGCACCCGGAGGAGGCTCTGTCCTCCAACAATCTGGGAACGGAGATATGGGAATCCAACAGCTCGGGTAACTGTTGCTGATGTGTTGGTGTGTGTCGGGAAACTTGGAGTGTGTTTGATTTCTTTCTCTTGTTTTCGCAGGTCTTTCAGTTCCAGCTTCGGGAGGAGATTCTTGGACGAAGCAGGTCTCGTACGCGGGGAGTGAGCCCAACTCGGAGGTACGGCGTCCACATCCAACTACAGTTTAGTTTTTGTTTAATACAGAGGTGTCAAACCAGTCCTCAAACGGCCGGTGTGGCTGCAGGGCTTCAGTTCAACCAAGCAAGAGCTCACCACACACAATAACTTAAATAGGACTTTTATTTTTATGTTTGATTTTTTTTATTGAACACTACATACACAGAAAAACAAAGTGAACACATTTAAACACATAGTCTGTTGTCCATAACTTGAATATCCATACCAGCAACTGACCGGAACGGATTTAAAAAGGACAAAATTTGGTATATAAATAAACATTACTTACTTGGTTACTTACTTACATACTTAGTTACTTACTCTGCCACGTCAGTCACCGAAATAGATTAGTCGCTTGAGGGTTAATAAAGAAAAAAAAGAGGACAATATGCTTTCATTATCTCAAGTGTCCAGGTTCCAAGTCTGGTGTGAGCTCCTGCTTGGTTGGAATGAAAACATGCAACCACACCCTGGCCCTTATGGTGCGTTCAGACCAAACGCGATTTCTGCGGCCAAAGCGGCGGGTCTACATTGACACAACATGGGGGACGCGCGCCAAGGAGCGGCGAGAGATCACGCGGCGCGATTCGCGCGGCCAGAGCGGCGCGAATTCGAGCGTTTCGCGCGATTCGCGCGGCGTGTTTTGAGATGTCAAGCGTTTTGACGCGCGTTTCGCGCGATTCGTGCCTCCAACGCGGCCGCCGCTAGAGTTGAACAATGTTGAACTTTTTGGGAGAATTCGCGTGTGCCGACCAATCAGGAGCTTTCTCCTCCAGTGACGTAGTGACGCATTTCACTACCGGAAAAACACTGGTAGATGACAGCTATGGAGGACACGTCAATTGCTCAGGTCGGTGCTCATTCTGAGCTATATAACACTGCGGACCACAGCTACCGGGACCGAAATAAAAAGAAGCTTGCTTGGAGGAGGGTTAGCGAGGTGGTTGGTGTCTCGGGTAAGTTATTTTAACTTTTCAATGTTGTAAATATTTCCCCGCGAAAAAAACTACTACTTTCCTGCTTACGAGTTGATGTGTTTATTCAGTGGAAGTTTGCAAAAAGCGGTGGAAGAATCTGAGGGACACATATGAGGTGCTGAAGGTCGGTGTCATGCAGCAAACGGAGACCTCGAACAGTTGGAAAAAATACATTTCTTTCCTTTCTATTACCCACATTTTGCTGACTTTTACATTTATATTGCTTTCTGTGTATGCATTTCTTTTAATGCTTTCTTAACATCATGGCCAGGTGAAAATAGGCATTGGCTATTTTCAAACCAGGATAGATCTTGATCATGTGTTGTGTTAAATTTCACTTTTCCCTTTTATATGAACAAATCATTTAAATGTACATAATAATGTACATTATTATGTACATATAAATGTCATAAGCGCAATGTACACATGATATGAAATAATTGTATTTCTTGTTTTCTTCTGGTGCAGATACTGCCACCACCACACAAGGTGAGACATCTTGGCCTGAGCTGCCTGCTGCTGCTGCTGCTGCTGCTTCCTCAGCCGGTTCTTCTTCTGTGAGGGCTGGACCTTCCCCTGCTTCTGCACCTACAGGTGTGGCTTTTTTTAATCATTGTTTTATTTTTATTCTTATTACAGGACTGTTCATATAAACAAAATGTTACTGCATAATATGCCAAAATTACCCAAGGGCTGTTACATCAGTGTAGACGACAAATTTACAGAGAAACGACAAGATGTCAAGGCACTACAGGTGGAAAGAAGCTTTGGTCTGATACAACACATCTTCCCTCTTTCTTTGATAAAAACATACTACTGAAATACCTTATGCTATAAAAGTACTGAACAAATACATGCAATGGTTGCCACAAGATGGCAGCTATCCTGTTTAATGCAGACAATAGAGTATTACTTTTTTACAGCCAATTTCAAATTTCATTGCGAAATACACTTCAGAGATATTAGTTTGTAACTGTCGAAATTTGTGCATGTGTGAGTAATTTCATTGATAACTGCAATGTTCAAGTTAATTGTAACAAACACACAACTTAAAAGTGTTTTACATGTGTTTAACTATGTCTACACACTCTGGCTTTAATACAGATATTATTTGCTCTCTTCATTTTGCTTTTTTGAAATACATGTTCCACTTTTTAACACTGTGATTGCCCTGTGTTCTTTGTTGGCGGCTCTACGGACGTGGGCCTCTTCCGAGCCCTCTTCCTTGGTGGGCCTTCAGAGTGGGAGCGGGAGCTGCTGGAGACTCTACGGACCAAAGCAGCCGGACCGCCCGACTACACAGAAGAACATCAGTTCCTGCTCTCTCTCTTTCCTCTCCTGCAAAGGGTGGCACCAGAGTCAAAAGAATTTGTGAAATTCAAAATGTACCAACTTTTATATGAAAGCAGCACCGTTCTGCTTAATTTGGAACCATTGGCCAGTACAGTTTTTTTTACCTAAGGTAACACCTTTTGCAGGGGAGGAAACAGACATGTGTCCCTTTCCTCTTCCACCGCACCTCCTCCAAGCAAGCTCCTTTTCATTTGTTTATATGTACATTTCATTTATTTTTCATTGTTTGTTCCTTTTTTTATAAAGAAAATATTTTTCAAACCTCATGTGTTCTACTTCAAGCCAACCATTACTACCTTTCATATAATATTGACAGAAAATGCTATTCTATATTTGTACATTTACTTTTATAAGAGCTGACTGGGTTTTATAGAAGATGGAATAACAAACACTTAAAGAGCGATACAGTAGTTGACAGTATTTTTTATTCATTTCACCTTTTATTGTTTTAACAACCTTGTAATTATGGAAAAGCTTGAATGTGCATTTGATTAACCTGAAGTTGGAGTGGAGTCGCAGTGGAGTCTGGCAGTCATTACCTAGAAACAGAAGGTATACAGGTGAATAGAATAGTGCAAATCAATATGGGTTTGGACTATGGCCAGATGTGGGTCAGTCTTGTGGTGGACATGACTACTCTGTGGGCTGCCACGGCAGTGCTCCCTCCTCACTGAAGTGGGCCATGAACACTTTCCTTATGTCCACTGCTGGCTTCCAGGCGGCCATCCGCTGCACGCCTGGAAGTGGTTCTTCACCGGCAGCAGCTCCCCTCGGTGCAGGAACCTGCCCATCTCCAGCCATCCTCATCCTCATCCTGGAGATGGGCAGGGCGCATTAAATTGCAGCGCAGTGAAAAGGCCTCATCTGCCACGAACACATGGGGCTGGGGTCCTCTGTGGTCAGCTCCAGGTATGCACTGGTCAGGAGGCAGGTCGAGTGTGCCCTCGCGCAGAGCCTCACCAAAGGCAGAGTTGGACACGATGCCTCCATCGCTGGATCTGCCGTACCCTCCCACATCAATCACCCTGAACCTGTACTGGGCATCCACTACAGCCAGGAGCACAAGGGAATGGTGCCCCTTATAATTAAAAAACATGGACCCAGAGTTGGGGGGTGCCTTCACAGCCACATGCTTCCCATCAATGGCCCCACAGCACAGAGGGAAGTTCCATCGGACCTCCACTCCTCTGCTCCAGGCACAGCCATGAACTCCTCCACGAGGCAGTCCCAGATGGCTGCCACCACATCTGGGATGAGCATGGAGACGGTGGATATGCCCACTCTGAAGCTCCCCGCAATGGTCCTGTAGGAGTCCCCAGTGGCAAGAAACCTGCAATTACAAAATGATATGAACATATTTATCACAATTACATTCATAAAAATCACGTGACAAAACTTGTGTAGCATAAAATACGTTAAACTAGTAGACAGTAAACATCATAGACAGTAATCATAGACACCATATTGTTGCATAATACTGTTTTCTGAGCAATTACATTGTGGATTGTGATTGAAAAATGACACACTTTGTAAGTTTTTAGGAATTCTGAATGGGGTAAAAAACACTAACCGCAGACAGATGGACAGGCGCTCTTCAGCTGGAATAGAGCGCCTGTAGTTGGTGTCCTGGTAGGAGATCCTAGCGCCAATGCGGGTCAGTAGGTCGTCAAACTGGGCCAGGGAGAGCCGAAAGTACCGCTGAAAGCGACCCTCATCCGAGCGCAGCTCCCGGAGCAAATGGTGAAACTCACCAAACTCCAACCGTCTACGGACTATCTGATGAATCCAGACACGTCGTCGATTCGCCCTTTGACGACGTGTCTGGCTTTATTTATCAGATAGAGCCAAGCCACTCCTTCGCTGACATCCATGTTGGGAAGCTACAGGCAAAAGAGACAAGCCCCGCCCCTAAACGCTCTCAACGCTCTGTGACAGCGGCTGCCCTCTAGTGTCCTGGCCGCGCGGCCAAGTTTCTCTGTGACAGCGGCTGCCACAATTTGTCACAAGCGGCTCAAGCCGCGCGATAGACGCGATTTGGCCGCAGAAATCGCGTTTGGTCTGAACGCACCATTAGAGAACTGACCCGACACCCCTGGGTTCAGACACACACAGACACAGACACACACACACACACACACGCACACAGACACACACACACACACACACACACACAGACGCACACACAGATGCACACACACACACACATACACACACACACACAGACACACACACACAGACAGACGCACACACACACACACACACGCACACGCTGATGCATTTCTCTTTCTTTCTTGATTCAGGATTCCGATGCTAGTCCCGATCCAAGCAAAGAACAGCACAAGCCAGGCCCCATCGGGAACGAGAGGTCTCTGAAGAACCGTAAAGGCTCAGAGGGAGTGGACCGACTGGAGGGGGGTCCCATCACTCCAGTCAACGGGGTGGACCTCCATGTGGACAGTGTGCTGCCTGTGCCTCCCATCGAGTTTGGGGTCAGTGCCAAAGACTCCGATTTCAGTCTGCAGGCGGGATCCACTCCAGTCCCTGTGTCCAATACTGTCAACAAGCTTCAAGATGCACTTACTAATAATGTAAGCATCCCAAACGTTAGGATTAAAGGTCCCATATATCGCTCTTCTTCATCTTTCACAGTCCATCCTAAGCACGTGTGTGGTAATGTGAGCGATAAACCATAAAACACCCAAAACTTGTCGAATTATAACCATTTCTTGCTTAGAGGAGATGTCGACTAAATTAAAACTGCTGGTTCTCTGCCCGCCTCCCCCCACCCGTGCGGTGACGTAGCCTTATGCTAACTTTGAGGTATGTACATGGCTGTGAAACTAACTGTTCAGCTTTAGCCAGTACATAGCAAGCCCCGGCAATCCAAGATGGCGTCCTGTTCAAATGAATGGCTGGTGCTCAGTGACGCATGTGCCACTATGGGGACCGAGAGATTAGCGGAACTCGCCATATTTGTGCATCGTCTGGTCGTCCCGGTTCTGCGCAGTGGACGAGCTCCCATCATGCTTTGCGCCAAATATGCATGTGTGGCTCTCATGCACGTGCACAGAGGGGCTCGGCCACGCTTTGACCAATCAGAGCTGCTGATCAGAGCAGTGGTAGAGCGGAGTCAGAGCGGGAAGGAAAGGAGCAGAGTCTGTGGCAGTAAAGTGTGGATTTAAAGAAAACCGAAGGATTTAAGAAGAAAAAAAGTTCAGGACGACAAGGGACACTAAAATCCCCACAAAATCCGTGCTTTATTAAAGCTGTAGGTTCTCTGTCAGGTTCTCTGTCAGCTGAGGTCGAGCTGTGTTAGTTTACATTGAGTTCTTTGGGGGAAATTTCTGGGTAGCTTATGTGAGTTTAGTCTGGTCTAGTCTCCAGTACCGCGAGAATCCCCCGAGCACATGGGTCCTTCAGCTCCAAGCTAGTAATACCCTAGTAATATCTAGTTATTATAATAGATCCATGACACAGAGTGACTGTCGTCAATCCAGAATCAGACCTTACTGTACTTAGAGATCTAGGTTCCTTGTTAGTGTCTTTTATTGTGGGAATAACACCATGTTTCAAGTTCAGGTCTTGAGTAAGTCCCCTTTCAAGGTAACCGTAGTTCTGGAACAGTCTGTGGTGAAGTGTCGCTCATTTGCCAAATAGTGTTATAGATATTTTACACCAAAAACAAATTTTCTCCAAGTTGGCGTGATGCTAACACTTTTAGTCGCTGACAATAGAAGGAATAAAAGCAGGGCTTGAGGGAATCAATGAAAAATCTACTTTGTACATGTGTGTGAAGGCCAAATATCACTGTTTTCATGTTTAGAAAAGTGTCATATGGGACCTTTTTAAGTCAAAACGATTCATAAAAGTCTAATGGAGATGCATCTATGTTTGCTTCCAGACTGGGCTCAATCAAAGCATCCCAATGCTCCGCTCGAACCATCTGCAGCCTGGAATCAACCTCAACCCTCTGTCGTTCCCTTCTGCCGACTTAACGTTGAAAGTAAGTCTTTTCTTTGTCCTCGTTATTATTAAAAAATTAGGGCTGGGGTTTGACTTCACCAGAGAACTGCGAGAAGTCATTTTTTTTGTAGATTGTTAGTAAACTATTGAATATTGACGGTTAAGCAACAATGCAGAGGGGAGTGTTTTTCTTTTTTGGACCAGCCAAGTTTAGCTGCCGTGGACTTTTGAATGCACTCGTTTAATGAATGCTAACGGCTTTTACACAAAGACTGCAGGAGGGAAAGTGCTCACACAACGGCGGAGAGAGGCATCACTAAGTTCGTTTATATTTACAGTCTATGGTTGAAGACAAACATTCCACGGTGCTAAATTCTGTTTATTTGAACAGTTTTAACACTGCACAGAAGGAGTGGGCAGAAGCAAAAAGAGTATTAGCCCAAAAAGTCAATTACAATCCAACTTTATATGTTATAATGAAAATAGTACAGAACAAGAGAGAGCAGAGAGAGAGAGAGAGAGTAGAGAGAGGGAGAGCAGAGAGGGAGAGCAGAGAGAGAAGAGAGAGAAGAGAGAGAGTAGAGAGAGTAGAGAGAGAGAGCAGAGAGAGAGCAGAGAGAGAGAGAGAGAGCAGAGAGGGGGAGCAGAGAGGGGGAGCAGAGAGGGAGGAGAGAGAGAGAGCAGAGAGAGAGAGCAGAGAGAGTACAGAGAGAGTACAGAGAGAGAGCAGAGAGAGAGAGAGAGAGCAGAGAGAGAGCAGAGAGAGAGAGAGAGAGCAGAGAGGGGGAGCAGAGAGGGGGAGCAGAGAGGGGGAGCAGAGAGAGAGCAGAGAGAGAGAGCAGAGAGAGTACAGAGAGAGAGCAGAGAGAGAGCAGAGAGAGAGCAGAGAGAGAGCAGAGAGAGAGCAGAGAGAGAGAGAGAGCAGAGAGGGGGAGCAGAGAGGGGGAGCAGAGAGGGGGAGCAGAGAGGGGGAGCAGAGAGGGGGAGCAGAGAGGGGGAGCAGAGAGGGAGCAGAGAGAGGGAGCAGAGAGAGAGAGAGAGAGCAGAGAGAGAGAGCAGAGAGAGAGAGCAGAGAGAGAGAGCAGAGAGAGAGAGAGAGAGAGAGAGAGAGAGAGAGAGAGAGAGAGAGAGAGAGAGAGAGAGAGAGAGAGAGAGAGAGAGAGAGAGAGAGAGAGCAGAGAGGGGGAGCAGAGAGGGGGAGCAGAGAGGGGGAGCAGAGAGGGAGCAGAGAGAGAGAGAGAGAGAGAGCAGAGAGAGAGAGCAAGGAAGACAAAGCAGCTCCAGTAACTATAGTTCGAACTGTACGTTTTATGACCAAAACAAATGTGTGTGTTATTTAAAGTCCGTGCCGTATAAAAAAAATACTTGTTTCTTGCACATTTCAGATGGAGTCGGCTCGAAAGGCCTGGGAGAACTCTCAGTCTCTGCCGGAGCAGGGGTCTCCTGGGGGCAGCTCCGGCCCTCAGCCCCCCTGCAGTGTGGGCTCCTCCAGCGGCGTCAGCTACAGCTCGTTTGGGGGCGTGTCCATGCCGCCGATGCCGATCGCTTCAGTGGCTCCCTCCATGTCCATGCAAGGTACACACTGGACTTTTAAATCCAGACTGAGAGCACTTTAGCAATCCTCACTGACGTGGAAGTGTGTTTATAATCTCTAATTGTGTGTAATTTGTGCTGCCTCTTGTCATGGTAGCACAATTCTCTCTCTCTCTCTCTCTCTTTCTCTTTTTCTCTTTCTCTTTCTCTTTCTCTTTCTCTTCTCTCTCTTTTCTCTCTCTCTTCCCTCTCTTTTCTCTCTCTCTTCCCTCTCTCTCCTCTCTCTCTCTCTTCTCTCCTCTCTCCCCCTCCCCCCCCTCTGGTCTCATTCTATCTGTCTCTCTCTGGTCTCTTTCTGGTCTCATTCTATCTCTCTTGTCTCTGTCCTGTCTCTCTCTGGTCTCTCTATCTGGTCTCTTTCTGGTCTTTCTCTGGTCTCTCTCTGGTCTCTCACTAGTCTCTCAGGTCCCCCTCTGGTCTCTCACTGGTCTCTCACTGGTCTCTCTCTCTGGTCTCTCCCTGGTCTCTCACTGGTCTCTCACTGGTCTCTCTCTCTGGTCTCTCACTGGTCTGTCACTGGTCTCTCACTGGTCTCTCTCTGGTCTCTCTATCTGGTCTCTTTCTGGTCTTTCTCTGGTCTCTCTCTGGTCTCTCACTAGTCTCTCAGGTCCCCCTCTGGTCTCTCACTGGTCTCTCACTGGTCTCTCTCTCTGGTCTCTCCCTGGTCTCTCACTGGTCTCTCTCTCTGGTCTCTCACTGGTCTGTCACTGGTCTCTCACTGGTCTCTCTCTGGTCTCTCTCTGGTCTCTCTCTCTGGTCTCTCTCTGGTCTCTCACTAGTCTCTCAGGTCCCTCTCTGGTCTCTCACTGGTCTCTCACTGGTCTCTCACTGGTCTCTCTCTGGTCTCTCTCTCTGGTCTCTCTCTGGTCTCTCACTGGTCTCTCAGGTCCCTCTCTGGTCTCTCACTGGTCTCTCACTGGTCTCTCACTGGTCTCTCTCTGGTCTCTCACTGGTCTCTCTGGTCTCTCTCTGGTCTCGCCTTTTGTCCAGGCCTCCCTTGAAAAAGAGGTTCTTAATCTCAATGGGACTTTCCTGCTTAAATAAAAGTAAAATAACAAAATAAACACATAGTTTTATTATGTTTATTCCTTACAGATCATATAATGGTTTATTGTTGTTGGAAATCCTATATTTTTGCCCTTTTTATCTTTATTATTGTATTATTACTATGTATATATTCACTTATCTTGTGTGAAAAGCCAAATACTGTCAGACCTCTGAAGCTAGCCTGTGCACGGCCTGGGTAGTACCGTGATGGGAGACCTCTGGGAACATCAGGTGCCACAGTGGGGCGGCTGCGGCTGTAACTATGACACTGAGGGATGAATGAAGGTTTCTCATTGTCGTAGGAAACCACATCACGCCGTTGTATCTCGATGGTCACGTGTTCCCGAGTCAACCTCGCCTCGTGCCACAACAACAGACGTATCAACAGGTGATTTACCCAGAAGCACACTGAAACTATGGTCTCTCTCTTCTCTCTCTGGTCTGTCTCTGATTTCTCTCTGGTCTCTCTTTCTGGTTCTCTGGTCTCTCTCTGGCCTCCTTCTGGTCTCTCTCTGGTCTCTCTCTGGTCTCTCTCTGGTCTCTCTCTGGTCTCTCTCTGGTCTCTCTCTGGTCTCTCTCTGGCCTCTCTCTGGTCTCTCTCTGGTCTCTCTCTAGTCTCTCTCTGGTCTCTCTCTCTGGTCTCTCTCTGGTCTCTCTCTGGTCTCTCTCTCTGGTCTCTCTCTCTGGTCTCTCTCTGGTCTCTCTTTCTGGTTCTCTGGTCTCTCTCTGGCCTCCTTCTGGTCTCTTTCTGGTCTCTCTCTGGTCACCCTCTGGTCTCTCTGGTCTCTGGTCTCTCTCTAGTCTCTGGTCTCTAACTCCTCTCTCTGTCTTCAGGCGGCTGCCCAGCAGATCCCCATCTCTTTGCACACGTCTCTTCAGGCCCAGGCTCAGCTCGGTCTTCGAGGAGGTCTCCCGGTCTCTCAGTCTCAAGAGATGTTCAGTTCTATTCCCTCTTTCAGGTACTGTTCCTCAGGGCTGGGAATCTGCAAACATGTGAAGATTCAATAATATTGTGTGTGTCAAAATTATCGCGTTAACTCACGTTAATTGCATTTTTCATTAACGCTTTTAAAAAAAGAACTCATTAACGCATGTTCGAACGACCCGCCCAGTTATCCATAACATCACTCAGAGCCGCGTACACATGTCTGTGTGAGAGGGCATCAGAGCAGGTAGGCCCTCTGGGAATTTCAAGTTTTAAAAGAATACGCACATGACCGCGGGGCTGTTGTTTGCTATGAACTGAAGTCCCCCTCCCGGGGGCACACACCGGGGGCAGCTGCGGCCGCTCTGGTTGTTGTGAGTGGCTATGAGCCGCTCACAACAACACGTTAGACCATACACGCCACAGAACTATTATCTGCATGTTGTGTTCGTGTCTTTGCAACCGGTGCGTAACCTGTGCACGCAAATACACCGCCAAAGTGTCCGTGTCTCCTCCTGAAACGCGGAATTAAAGCTGGGGTACGTACATTTTTAGTTGTGCCCAAATGCAAGAGGTTGTGAGCAAATTTAACAGATTGAAGAACATTTGGTCTGAATGACAATGTGTCATTACATTTGATAATCTCATTTAACTGTGGATTTGAAATAGAATGTTAAAAGTGCAATTAATCGTGAGTTAACTCAACATTTCTGTGCGATTAATCAACTAAAACACTTTAATCGTTTGACAGCCCTAGCATTGTGATATTTGGGCCAAAATTCAATATTATTGCGATTCTTCCAAGACTTTAAAAACATGGAAGAAAATAGTCACAACAAGCAGAGGTCATAGAGTCACGACAAGCAGAGGTCATAGAGTCACGACAAGCAGAGGTCATAGAGTCACAACAAGCAGACATCATAGAGTCACGACAAGCAGACATCATAGAGTCACGACAAGCAGACATCATAGAGTCACGACAAGCAGACATCATAGAGTCACGACAAGCAGACATCATAGAGTCACGACAAGCAGACATCATAGAGTCACGACAAGCAGACATCATAGAGTCACGACAAGCAGACATCATAGAGTCAAGACAAGCAGACATAGTCACAACAAGCAGACATCATAGAGTCACGACAAGCAGACATCATAGAGTCACGACAAGCAGACATCATAGAGTCACGACAAGCAGACATCATAGAGTCACGACAAGCAGACATCATAGAGTCACGACAAGCAGACATCATAGAGTCACGACAAGCAGACATCATAGAGTCACGACAAGCAGACATCATAGAGTCACGACAAGCAGACATCATAGAGTCAAGACAAGCAGACATAGAGTCAAGACAAGCAGACATCATAGAGTCACGACAAGCAGACAGAGTCACGACAAGCAGACATCATAGAGTCACGACAAGCAGACATCATAGAGTCACGACAAGCAGACATAGAGTCACGACAAGCAGACATCATAGTCACAACAAGCAGACATCATAGTCACAACAAACAGACGTCATAGTCACGACAAGCAGACGTCATAGAGTCACGACAAGCAGACATCATAGAGTCACGACAAGCAGACATCATAGAGTCACGACAAGCAGAGGTCATAGTCACAACAAGCAGACGTCATAGAGTCACAACAAGCAGACGTCATAGAGTCACAACAAGCAGACATCATAGAGTCATGACAAGCAGACGTCATAGAGTCATGACAAGCAGACATAGAGTCACGACAAGCAGACGTCATAGAGTCACGAAAAGCAGACGACATAGAGTCACGAAAAGCAGACGTCATAGAGTCAAAACAAGCAGACATCATAGAGTCACGACAAGCAGACATCATAGAGTCACAACAAGCAGACGTCATAGAGAAACATAAACCTCAGATGGAAATGACCAGAGGAAACCAATGGTTCTGTCTGTTTCTCACATGGTTCTGTCTATGTCCAGGTCCCAGGTTTACATGCACCCCAACCTGTCTCAGGCCAACCCCATGGTCCTGTCGGGAGGAGCCCCCCTCAAAGGGCCCTACTCAGGGTTTCCTGGTATGCAGCCTTCTGACATGGTGAAGCCTCAGTCCAGCTCTCACTATCAGCCCATGAACGGAAACCAGCCCATGGTCTACGACAACCAGATGAACCAGGGACCAGGAATGGGCTCGTCACAGTTAATGGACTCTCAGCTCATCCAGGTCAGTGCAGTCTGTGTGACATGTAGTTAGGGAGACCGAAGAGGGAGACCGGAGAGAGGGAGACCGGAGAGAGGGAGACCGGAGAGAGGGAGACCGGAGAGAGGGAGACCGGAGAGAGGGAGACCGGAGAGGGAGACCGGAGAGGGAGACCGGAGAGAGGGAGACCGGAGAGAGGGAGACCGGAGAGAGGGAGACCGGAGAGGGAGACCGGAGAGGGAGACCGGAGAGAGGGAGACCGAAGAGGGAGACCGGAGAGGGAGACCGGAGAGGGAGACCGGAGAGGGAGACCGGAGAGGGAGACCGGAGAGGGAGACCGGAGAGAGGGAGACCGGAGAGGGAGACCGGAGAGGGAGACCGGAGAGGGAGACCGGAGAGAGGGAGACCGGAGAGAGGGAGACCGGAGAGAGGGAGACCGGAGAGGGAGACCGGAGAGGGAGACCGGAGAGGGAGACCGGAGAGGGAGACCGGAGAGGGAGACCGGAGAGGGAGACCGGAGAGAGGGAGACCGGAGAGGGAGACCGGAGAGGGAGACCGGGAGAGGGAGAGGGGAGAGGGAGACCGGAGAGAGGGAGACCGGAGAGAGGGAGACCGGAGAGAGGGAGACCGGAGAGAGGGAGACCGGAGAGAGGGAGACCGGAGAGAGGGAGACCGGAGAGAGGGAGACCGGAGAGAGGGAGACCGGAGAGAGGGAGACCGGAGAGAGGGAGACCGGAGAGAGGGAGATCCTTTATTCGTCCCACAGCAGGGCATTTTCACTCCCTCTGGTCCCTCTTTCTGGTCTCTCTCTCTTTCTCTGTTCTGTCTCTCTGCTCTCTCTCTCTCTCTAGTGTTGTTAGCAGCCTCTTGTCTGTAAATATTTATAAGAAAGTGAGATGGTTGTGTAAAGGTCCACTTCCTGTCAGGTGACCATGCCTCTGCCCGGCTCCCAGCTCCGTTACGGCTCCGCGCAGCAGCACCTGATCCTGCCCCAGTCCATCCAGCTGCAGCAGGGACAGAACCTCTCCGTGGGGGCCCCTCGCCGCATGATGCCCCCGGGGTCTCAGGGGCCGGTGATGAGCGGCAGCAGAGAGGTACTACACCCACACTCCTCCATCAGTGATTCCAAAGTGATGAAAAACAAGCAAAAATTACTCACATTTGACAAAATGTGTCTTAATTTTAGCAGTAGGAATTAGGCGCACACAGTAAAAGAAAAATTATATTGACATTATATTGTTAAAATAGAAAAATCTCTTACTTTAACCAGGGGAAAAATGAGAAAGAAATACATGAAAATAAGTAAATTACCACTTGAAGAACCAGAAAATATGACTTAGTAAGATTTCTGAAAATAATAAATTAATACAAGCCCCAAACGACTTGATTCTAGTTTAAAAACATACATTTCAAGTGTTATTTACTTATTTGTTAAACTTATATATATATATATTTTTTTTTTTCTGAAAATACATCATAACAAACTTATTTCATCTGAACAAGAAAGAAAATTGTCTGGAAAAAATACTTAAAACAAGCTTAAAAACTCACTGCTCCGACCTTTTTCTAATGAGATTATGAAGTATCTTAAAACTAGTAAAATGATCTAATAACAAACTACATTCAAGTACAAAAAATAAGCACAATTTGTTATTTTTTGTAAATAAACCAAGATTTTACTTTTTTCAGTGTATAAGTGCTAAAGGTGCACTTTATTAATCCCTGTAGAGCAATTCCTCTTGCATTTGACCCATCCTGATGCCGCTAAGGCTTACATCAGGAGCAGTGGTCGCCGTAGTAACAGCGCCCGGAGGATTTGACCTAGTGTGCATGTTTTTAAGTGGTAGGGGAAACTGGAGTACCTACGCAGGCACGGGGAGAACATGCAAACTCCACTCAGAAAGGCCCTATTCCGACCGGGATTTGAAGACCTCCTTGCTGAGAAGCCACCGTGCCGCCCTATTCTTGGGTGTCATATGACGTCAGGGCAGTGGCGCGAATAACAAACGTAGGACAGGACGTGACGTATCCTGACGGTGCAGTCTGCCGGGTTTATACACGGAGATATAGTAGAAGAAGAAGCGGTTTATACACGGAGATATAGTAGAAGAAGAAGCGGTTCATACACGGAGATATAGTAGAAGAAGAAGCGGTTTATACACGGAGATATAGTAGAAGAAGAAGCGGTTTATACACGGAGATATAGTAGAAGAAGAAGCGGTTTATACACGGAGATATAGTAGAAGAAGAAGCGGTTTATACACGGAGATATAGTAGAAGAAGAAGCGGTTTATACACGGAGATATAGTAGAAGAAGAGGAGGTTTATACACGGAGATATAGTAGAAGAAGAAGCGGTTTATACACGGAGATATAGTAGAAGAAGAAGCGGTTTATACACGGAGATATAGTAGAAGAAGAGGAGGTTTATACACAGAGATATAGTAGAAGAAGAAGCGGTTCATACACGGAGATATAGTAGAAGAAGAAGCGGTTTATACACGGAGATATAGTAGAAGAAGAAGCGGTTCATACACGGAGATATAGTAGAAGAAGAAGCGGTTTATACACGGAGATATAGTAGAAGAAGAAGCGGTTTATACACGGAGATATAGTAGAAGAAGAGGAGGTTTATACACGGAGATATAGTAGAAGAAGAAGCGGTTAATACACGCAGATATAGTAGAAGAAGAAGCGGTTAATACACGCAGATATAGTAGAAGAAGAAGAGGTTTATACACGCAGATATAGTAGAAGAAGAAGCGGTTTATACACGGAGATATAGTAGAAGAAGAAGCGGTTTATACACGGAGATATAGTAGAAGAAGAGGCGGTTTATACACGGAGATATAGTAGAAGAAGAAGCGGTTTATACACGGAGATATAGTAGAAGAAGAAGCGGTTTTTACACGGAGATATAGTAGAAGAAGAAGAGGTTTATACACGCAGATATAGTAGAAGAAGAAGCGGTTAATACACGCAGATATAGTAGAAGAAGAAGTGGTTTATACACGGAGATATAGTAGAAGAAGAAGAGGTTTATACACGGAGATATAGTAGAAGAAGAAGCGGTTTATACACGGAGATATAGTAGAAGAAGAAGCGGTTCATACACGGAGATATAGTAGAAGAAGTGGTTTATACACGGAGATATAGTAGAAGAAGTGGTTTATACACAGAGATACAGTAGAAGAAGAAGTGGTTTATACACAGAGATATAGTAGAAGAAGAAGTGGTTTATACACGGAGATACAGTAGAAGAAGAAGCGCTGTCAAAATGCCATCTTTTTGTGCGGTGTACGTTTGTAGAAACCGCACAAATACAGAAAAAGACCAGAGTTTGTTCATGTTCCAACTGTGGTCTCATATAAAGGAAGACACTTTGTAGAAATCACTGGAATGAGGCGGAGGTGGATCAAGGCTTTCCCAGATAAGCGCCCCCTGCAGGCCACCCCAATGAAACACAGCAATTTCTTCTGTTTTTCTTTCCAAAAATGCTCGAAATCAAGACTCTTGTGTGAAATATTTTTTAGTACTCCCTTAGAATTGAGTGTCTTCGATTAAGACCGTTCCAACAACCGTACACCGCACAGGAGTAGAGCCTTTGACTCCAAAACAGACTTTACATGGTTTTCAATGGGAGCAAAACTGAAACCTCTGCTCATGCGCCCCCTACTGGCCAGGTTCATAAAACCCAAGAATATGCAAACTTACACTATATATTCTAGCGCAAGTTTTAGCAAATCTTGTTTTAACACAGTCGGAGTTAACTCAAAATAAGATTTAAAAAACTCACTGGATTCAAAACTTTTTAATCATTTGAATAATGTTTTGCAGCGTAAAAGGAACATTAACGTGTGTGTTTGTCCCAGTCACAGATGGACATGAAGAGCTTTCAGTTCTCAGACAAACCCAGTCATTCCCCGGGGATCTCAGCAGCGACATACAGGTGACTCCTCGCTCGGTCTCGCTCATTCTCGCTCGGTCTCACTCGGTCTCACTGTTTCTAAAGACTTTCTGCTTTCAGACCTGGTTCTGCGAGTCCCAGTGGGAAGTCCTCTGGTCCCGGAGCCCCTCTGCCAACACACTTTTCACAACAGGTAAAGCCTGGATTTTACTTTTCTTTAAACGGGTGAATGGCAAAATTAATTCAATAAGTCCTTTTTAAGATGGAAATGTGAAGAGAAAGAGAGAACCAAAAGAAAACGTGTGCGTCAGACAGTCTGCTCTCTCTGTCTCTGTCTCTCTCTCTCTCTGCTCTTTCTCTCTCTGCTCTCTGCTCTCTCTCCCTCCTCTCACTTCAGTGTCTGAGGTCTCTCTCTCTCTCTCTCTCTGCTCTTTCTCTCTCTGCTCTCTCTCTCTCTGCTCTCTCTCTCTCCTCTCACTCCAGTGTCTGAGGTCTCTCTCTCTCTCTCTCTGGTCTCTCTCTCTCCTCTCACTCCAGTGTCTGAGGTCTCTCTCTCTCTCTGGTCTCTCGCCCTCCTCTCACTCCAGTGTCTGAGGTCTCTCTCTCTCTCTGGTCTCTCTCTCTCCTCTCACTCTAGTGTCTGAGGTCTCTCTCTCTCTCTGCTCTCTCTCTCTCCTCTCACTCCAGTGTCTGAGGTCTCTCTCTCTCTCTCTGGTCTCTCTCTCTCCTCTCACTCCAGTGTCTGAGGTCTCTCTCTCTCTCTCCTCTCACTCCAGTGTCTGAGGTCTCTCTCTCTCTGGTCTCTCTCTCTCCTCTCACTCCAGTGTCTGAGGTCTCTCTCTCTCTCTCCTCTCACTCCAGTGTCTGAGGTCTCTCTCTCTCTCTCTGGTCTCTCTCTCTCCTCTCACTCCAGTGTCTGAGGTCTCTCTCTCTCTCTGGTCTCTCTCTCTCCTCTCACTCCAGTGTCTGAGGTCTCTCTCTCTCTCTCTGCTCTCTCTCTCTCCTCTCACTCCAGTGTCTGAGGTCTCTCTCTCTCTCTCTCTGGTCTCTCTCTCTCCTCTCACTCCAGTGTCTGAGGTCTCTCTCTCTCTCTGGTCTCTCTCTCTCCTCTCACTCCAGTGTCTGAGGTCTCTCTCTCTCTCTCTGCTCTCTCTCTCTCCTCTCACTCCAGTGTCTGAGGTCTCTCTCTCTCTCTCTCTCTCTGGTCTCTCGCCCTCCTCTCACTCCAGTGTCTGAGGTCTCTCTCTCTCTCTGGTCTCTCTCTCTCCTCTCACTCTAGTGTCTGAGGTCTCTCTCTCTCTCTGCTCTCTCTCTCTCCTCTCACTCCAGTGTCTGAGGTCTCTCTCTCTCTCTCTGGTCTCTCTCTCTCCTCTCACTCCAGTGTCTGAGGTCTCTCTCTCTCTCTCTCTCCTCTCACTCCAGTGTCTGAGGTCTCTCTCTCTCTCTCTGGTCTCTCTCTCTCCCTCTCACTCCAGTGTCTGAGGTCTCTCTCTCTCTCTCCTCTCACTCCAGTGTCTGAGGTCTCTCTCTCTCTCCTCTCACTCCAGTGTCTGAGGTCTCTCTCTCTCTCTGGTCTCTCTCTCTCCTCTCACTCCAGTGTCTGAGGTCTCTCTCTCTCTCTCTCTCTGCTCTCTCTCTCTCCTCTCACTCCAGTGTCTGAGGTCTCTCTCTCGTCCTCAGATTCCCACGGCTCAGGGCAGTATGATGATGCACATGCGGCCCCCCACCTCTGGCCCCTTCCCAAACCCCATCCAGAGACCAGTGATGCAGGTCAACAAGTCCGTCATCATCCGCTCTCCCTATTCCAACCCGGGCCGGGACCCCCCCCACCCCGCCCCCCCCTCTGCCCCAGAGTCCGGCCTCAAAGGACCAGATGAGGGCATGAAGGTGAGCCACCCCCTGTAACTATAGGTAATTCAACCATTTTATTTTCTCACTTTCACACATTTGTCCACACGCAACTATCTCTCTCTCTGGTCTCTCTCTCTCTGCTCTCTCTCTCTTCTCTCTCTACTCTCTCTGGTCTCTCTGCTCTCTCTCTCTTCTCTCTCTACTCTCTCTGGTCTCTCTCTCTCTGGTCTCTCTCTCTCTGTTCTCTCTCTCCCTCTACTCTCTCTCCCTCTGGTCTCTCTCTCTCTCTGCTCTCTCTCTCTTCTCTCTCTACTCTCTCTGGTGTCTCTCTCCCTCTGCTCTCTCTCTCTCTGCTCTCTCTCTCTCTGGTCTCTCTCTCTCTCTCTGGTCTCTCTCTCTCTCTCTCTGGTCTCTCTCTGGTCTCCCTCTGCTCTCTCTCTCTCTCTCTGCTCTCTCTCTGGTCTCCCTCTGCTCTCTCTCTCTGCTCTCTCTCTCTCTGGTCTCCCTCTGCTATCTCTCTCTCTCTCTCTCTCTGCTCTCTCTCTCTCTCTGCTCTCTCTCTTTCTCTCTCTCTCTCTGGTCTCTCTCTCTGGTCTCCCTCTGCTCTCTCTCTCTCTCTCTCTGGTCTCTCTCTCTGGTCTCTTTCTCTGGTCTCTCTCTGGTCTCTTTCTCTCTCTCTCTGGTCTCCCTCTGCTCTCTCTCTGCTCTCTCTCTCTCTGGTCTCTCTCTCTCTCTCTGGTCTCCCTCTGCTCTCTCTCTCTCTCTCTGGTCTCTCTCTCTCTTTCTGGTCTCCCTCTCTCTCTGGTCTCTCTCTCTGGTCTCCCTCTCTCTCTGGTCTCTCTCTCTGGTCTCTCTCTCTCTCTCTGGTCTCTCTCTCTCTGGTCTCTCTCTCTCTCTCTGGTCTCTCTCTCTGGTCTCCCTCTCTCTCTGGTCTCTCTCTGGTCTCTCTCTCTGGTCTCTCTCTCTCTGGTCTCTCTCTCTCTGCTCTCTCTCCCTCTGCTCTCTCTCTGCTCTCTCTCTCTCTCTGCTCTCTCTCTCTCTCTCTGCTCTCTCTCTCTCTCTCTGCTCTCTCTCTCTCTGGTCTCCCTCTGCTCTCTCTCTCTCTGCTCTCTCTCTCTCTCTCTGCTCTCTCTCTCTCTCTCTGGTCTCTCTCTCTCTCTCCTCTCTCTCTCTCTCTGGTCTCCCTCTGCTCTCTCTCTCTCTCTCTCTGGTCTCTCTCTCTCTCTCTCTCTGGTCTCTCTCTCTCTCTCTCTGGTCTCTCTCTCTCTCTCTGGTCTCTCTCTGCTCTCTCTCTCTCTCTGCTCTCTCTCTCTCTGCTCTCTCTCTCTGATGCATGCATACGTATTGTATTGTTTTGCCTTAACCAATACATTGCCTTCTCCTCTACACAGTCCTCACATCAACACTTCACAAAAACCTTTCAACTTTCCCCTTTTTGTTTAGACTAAAACCATCCGAGACGTGCGTAAAGCAGTCGGCGAAGTCAAGGCACCATCAGTCGGATTAACCAGCAAACACCAGGAGCCTCTACCAGGGCAAGCCAAACCAGCACGCACCGGAGCGATCAAACCCCAGGCTGTGAAAGTAGAGGAGGGCAAAGTGTAACAAAATGGACCCTAGAATCCTCTTTTCTCTGCCTCAGACGGAGCCCTTTGATCCGGTTTTCTTTGGGCAGGGGACTGGCAGAAACGTCCTCCAGACTCTCCACAACAGGACACTACCCCCCACCATATATAGAGATATATAAATATATATATACATAGAAATAAACAGTCTTTTACGCAGATCTATTCACTGTCCTCTTTAATTTATTATTAGTACTTTTAAGAGCAGAATGCTGTTGAGAAAATGTGTTTTGTGTGTTTGTTTCTAAAAGTCGGGGTAAAAGACTGGGACAGGTTTTCATAATGTTTGCCAAAATAATGTTTGGACTCGGGATCGCCGGGTCACAGCCCTCGGAAACCTCCCAGAATGCATTTGTATCATTAGGAAAAGTCTTGTGTGAACCATTTTCGGGCAAATTGTCACTGAGAGTTTTTCTCAGTTTTTTGCCGCATTCTCTAAAAACCCACGGACTGACGTCGAGCAGAGAAAGTAGTTCCTGGACAACGCATGAAAATTGCAATTTTTTTATTTTCTTGGGTTTTTCTTTTTGTATTATTTGTTGGTATTCCAAATATCAAGCTTTTTTTCTCCGCCGTCTCGCTCGCTTTTGAGGACGCTTCACCGCACCCCGGAAAAAATCACGCCGCTTCCATCAATCATCTCGGACTGTTTTTTTTTTTTCCAACGGCGTTTGCATGTGACGCAAAAAAAAAAAACCTTGACTTCTTCTTCTTCTTCTTCTTTTTGAGCCACAAACTGTGAGGACTGGGATCAAACAAACGCTGCTTGATGAGAAGTTGGGTCTGAACCAGAGCTGTAAAACTCGGAATAGCTTAGATGGAAGCGTAGTTATGAATTCTGGACTTCTTCTTCTTCTTCTACTGCCACCTAACTGAATGTGATGACGCATTTCCAACTGGGGTTTCTCTCTTTCTCACTGCGACACTTTGCTCTACAGATTAGCATAATTGCGTGTGTGCTTTTTCTTGTCTCTTTCCGTGGCACGAGCAATAACAAAAACATTCTCATCGCAAACCGGATCAGACCAGATTTTGTTCCAGGTCTCGAACTGTAAAAGCTGTGGTTTTTGGCTAAAGCTATAGATGGGGAGGTCTCTCTCCTTTTTTTGTGTGAGCGTTGATCTATACATTGGACGAAAGAAGGACTTTTAAACTTTTTCTCTGGAACAAAACGAAATGTGAAGTTGTTGGAATTTATATTTTTTTGGTTTTTGTAATTATCAAGTTGTTTTAAAAGTCACGACGCCATCAAACTGTTTCAATGTTGCTACGAAAGACGCTTCATCACACTACAATATGTGCTCTCTCTCTGTGTGCTCTCTCTTTGTCTCTGCCTTTCTCTTCCTGGTCTTGTCTCTCTTCTTTCAGTCTCTTATCTCTGTCTGTCTTTCCCAGTGTGCTTTCTGCCTCTCTCTTTCTATTCCCCCTCTCTCTCGCTCTCCCTCACACTCGTTCTCCCATCTCTCTCCCTCTGCCTCTTCTCTCTCTCTCTCCCATCTCTCTCGTTCTCCCATCTCTCTCCCTCTGCCTCTTCTCTCTCTCGCTCCCATCTCTCTCGTTCTCCCATCTCTCTCCCTCTGCCTCTTTCTCTTTTCTTTGGTCTCTCCCCCCCTCTCCCTCTGTCACTCAGTTCTCTCTCTCCCCCTCTCTGTCTGCAGTGTACACTCTCTGTAAGCCTCTCTTTTCTCTCTCTCTGCAGTGTACTCTCTCTCTGCAGTGTACTCTCTCTCTGTGTGCAAGCATCCTTAAGTGTACAGGCGGCAGGTGCAGACGAGGCCTCGACGCACACGTTTCATTTTAAATAAATATTGTGCCACTATAAAAAGATTTCTCATTTATATGTTACTGTGTTCTGAGAATGGATTTCCTGCTTTATTTTCCGTGGGGGGGGGGAGGGGAGGAGGGGGAGTTGGGGGTTCTTGGAGTGCTTTGCTTCTGTTACTGCAAAATGGATCTTTATGGTTCTCATTTATTGTACCAAAATGTTTGAACCCACTTTGTTGTACTTTAAGATTCATTCTTATTGTAAAAAGTACAGCAGCGGTTTGTCTCCAGCCGCTCTCTGCGCTCGGCCTTTCTTTCAGACCCTGTTTCTGCTCTCCCTTGTTAAAAAGCGACCATTGAAAGAAAAATAAAGCGGTGGTGATTTCTTAAATGGATCGTAAAGCTCTTTTCTCGTTTGTTGTAGTTTACCCCGAGGCCGGAAAACTGGGAAAGGCAAGTTTATGTATTTGTATATGTGTGTAGCACAGTTCATACCCAAGCATCTGGAAGGACTGAACAAAACAAGATGGAGGCTTTTAAGTCATAATCACAGTTCATGGAAAATAATTTTATTCACAGCTGAACAACTGTTGTCAACCTGGAACCCCCATGTTTCATTTTGGTCTCTCTCGCTCTCCCTCTGTCTCTGATCACTGGTCTCTCTCTGCTCTCTCTTTCTCTCTGTCTCTGGTCACTGGTCTCTCTCACACTCTTTCTCTATTTCTCTGGTCACTGGTCTCTCTCTATCACTGGTCTCTCTCTCTCTGGCCACTGGTCTCTCTCTCTCTCTGATCACTGGTCTCTCTCTCTCTGGCCACTGGTCTCTCTGTGTCTCCCTCTCTCTCTCTGGCCACTGGTCTCTCTCTCTCTCTCTCTCTCTGATCACTGGTCTCTCTCTCTGGCCACTGGTCTCTCTCTCTCTGGCCACTGGTCTCTCTCTCTCTGGCCACTGGTCTCTCTCTCTCTCTCTCTGATCACTGGTCTCTCTCTCTCTGGCCACTGGTCTCTGTGTCTCCCTCTCTCTCTCTCTGGCCACTGGTCTCTGTCTCTCTCTCTCTCTGGCCACTGGTCTCTCTCTCTCTGGCCACTGGTCTCTCTCTGGCCACTGGTCTCTCTCTCTCTGGCCACTGGTCTCTGTCTCTCTGGTGGTAGCAAGTCATAATAAACAAATGATAGATATAAATGCACACATGGCATTCATTTCCTCCATACAGAGTGGGGATAAACTACTGTAGCCACAGCTGCCCTGGGGTAAACAGAAAAAGGCAACCAGTCTGTGCCATCGGCCCCTCTTCACACACACACACACACACACCAGACTCATTCAAATGTGGGTGAAGTGTCTTGCCTAAGGACACATTAACAGCACTTAGCAGCAGCAGCCGCTCCACTATGGCGCCCGATATTCCCAGAGGTCTCCCATCACAGTACTGACTAGGCCTTGCCCTGCTGAGCCTTCCCCTGCAGGTGGTTTAAGATTCACAGAGCAAATGCTGAACTAACTCCAATGAAATACACCGTGTTTAGATCAAAGCTGATTGGCTGAGAGAGGGTGCTTCTGTTTTTCACTTTTCAGTCTGAACAATCTGTAAGAAAGGTGTGACCGAGACCAAAAACTGTGTGTGTCACTGTGTGTGTATAAATGCATGTATGTGTGTCATTGTTTGTGTGTGTCACTGTGTGTGTGTGTGCGTGACATTATGGGACCAAACAGTTCTGGGAGTGAATGACCTGGTAGATGTTTCTAAACACCCAATATCTTTTGTGTTGTGGTTCGAAAGTTAGGTACCCCAGCTTTAATGTGTAAGCCCCGCCCCCTCCGACACATTCTTCAGATTCCTGCTCAGACCTGTCCACTTCTCTCTGGTCTGGGCTCCGTCTGCAGCTTTGTGTTGTTTTTCTGCTACAAGGCTCAGACGAACGAGTCCAGGTACGGTCAGTTTCTGTTTTTACATTTATGATTTTTTATTTTTCTTAATGATGATTGATTATATGAATATTTATTTTCCTTAATACTTTGGGGGATTTTTTCTTGCGTTCCAAATACCCTCCGATCAGCAGTTGTTGATATTGTGGAGTTAGACAAAGAAATTACAGGGAAAAAGTTGCAAATAAGAGTTTTAATTTTATTTTTGGAGGGATTAACACAGTCAGAATTAACTCAGATTAAGGTAAAAAAAAACGCTCTTGAAAACGCAGTGATGAAAGTGAAGCAGAACCTTTGTGGTGAATGTAAAGGTGGACTGATCCTGAGAAGAACCGGGTCTTCTCTGGTTCAGGATGTCTTCCTCCAGGAGCAGAGTCGGTCCAGAGGAAAGTCTCTCCGTGATGCAGGAGCTGGAGGACCGTCTGAAAGAACAGATCGACAAACTGGAACACCTCCGACTGTCTGCACTGGACCTGAGAGAACATGTATCAGCGGTACGGTACCACTGACTGTACCACTGACTGTACCTCAGACTGTACCACTGACTGTACCTCAGACTGTACCTCAGACTGTACCACTGACTGTACCTCAGACTGTACCTCAGACTGTACCTCAGACTGTACCTCAGACTGTACCACTGACTGTACCTCAGACTGTACCACTGACTGTACCACTGGCTGTACCACTGACTGTACCACTGACTGTACCTCAGACTGTACCACTGACTGTACTTCAGACTGTACCACTGACTGTACTGTTAGTATTAGATAGCAATATGGCCTACGTGCAGAACTCTACAAGGACTCTACAAGGACTCCATGTTATGACTATGATGTGACTGTCTCTTTGTGACACGTATGTCTTTCGATGTGTGACGTGACAATGACTATATAAACTGTGTACTGCCTTTATTCTGTCTGAGAGAAAGAAACAGAGTAAACCAGTGGAACTTGAGAGAAACTTAAATAAACTTCCAGAGTTTGGCGCACCACGATCCGTCTCTGTCTGCTAAATCCTAACAGATTTGGTGGAGAATGCGTGGCTCAGTGTGCGCCATTCTCTGGATTGTTTTGAGGGAGTTTGCTCTGTTTCTTTTCCTCGGCGTGGGAGATCGGCATGCTGTGTCTGGGAGCGGAGATTCCAGCAGGCTGGAAGAGCTGTTCCTGGATGCTTCTTGTCGCTTCTGTCACTTTTGTTTTTTAAATTGAATATTCCGACGCGGAAAAGAGTTGGCAGACCTCTCGGACAACCCTTGGTACCTGTTTGACAAGAATAAGGTAAGCAGACACCTTTTTATATGTAAAGTCTGTATAATTGGATACTAGCTAAATTTTGGTCTGTTTTTGGGGTCTGTCAAACTCTATAAATTGTATTTGAGAAGAAGTCTCGGGGTTAGAGTCCCTTTGAGAAGAAGTCTCGGGGTTAGAGTCCCTTTGAGAAGAAGTCTCGGGGTTAGAGTCCCTTTGAGAAGAAGTCTCGGGGTTAGAGTCCCTTTGAGAAGAAGTCTCGGGGTTAGAGTCCCTTTGAGAAGAAGTCTCGGGGTTAGAGTCCCTTTGAGAAGAAGTCTCGGGGTTAGAGTCCCTTTGAGAAGAAGTCTCGGGGTTAGAGTCCTCCCTTTGAGAAAAAGTCTCGGGGTTAGAGTCCCTTTGAGAAGAAGTCTCGGGGTTAGAGTCCCTTTGAGAAGAAGTCTCGGGGTTAGAGTCCCTTTGAGAAGAAGTCTCGGGGTTAGAGTCCCTTTGAGAAGAAGTCTCGGGGTTAGAGTCCCTTTGAGAAGAAGTCTCGGGGTTAGAGTCCCTTTGAGAAGAAGTCTCGGGGTTAGAGTCCCTTTGAGAAGAAGTCTCGGGGTTAGAGTCCCTTTGAGAAAAAGTCTCGGGGTTAGAGTCCCTTTGAGAAAAAGTCTCGGGGTTAGAGTCCCTTTGAGAAGAAGTCTCGGGGTTAGAGTCCCTTTGAGAAAAAGTCTCGGGGTTAGAGTCCCTTTGAGAAGAAGCTTCAGGGTTAGAGTCCCTTTGAGAAAAGATAGAGAAGGATCCAAAGTGAAACCATGGTGTAATAATAAAAGCAATAAAAAGGGAAATGTGTTAAAGAGGCCTTTGTTACAAAAGCTTTGAAATTGACGAATTTCAGGCTGATAAATGACAAAAGTAAAGAAGCAACAATATTTCCGGGATCCTTGGTTTAAATTACATACAGAAAAAGGGAGTTTTGTTTTTTGGCGTGAACAGAGTTCACCGGAGAATGCAGAGTTATATCTAAAGTTGAGCTATGAGAGCTTTCGTGAGTTATTTACATTTTTTGCCGAGTTTTATCTACAGTTGAGCTATGAGAGGGCTGTATCCAACAGTTGTTTTTTGTTTTTTAGAAAGAGATTTTGAGTTTAAATTAGTTTGCTACCTCGATAAAATAGAAGCGTACGTTAAAGACAAGAGTGCCTTTTGTTACAAGTGTGGAAATTGGCCATTTCTAGACTTGGATGACAAAAGTTTAAAGAACAACATCAGTTATATTTGCTTAAAAAAGTAATCTTGAAAGTTATTCTTCTTTCTGTTTTTGCATTTTTGCTAAAACACTACTTTCTGCCTGTGTGTGCATCTCTATCTGCTGCCGTTGTCAGGGAAACGGCCCCCTCCTTCGCTGCTCTGGCTCTGAATCAGAGCAAAGCTACTGCTTTAGGATTTTTGGCTTTTCATAGTAGTTATTCCGTTAAATTTGCGAAATTTGCCATTTGAACATTGTGTTATGACACAGTTAAACGTTTTTAGACACCATTAGTGAATAAGTTTTGAATATTATATGTTTTTTGAAACCCAAATATTAGTGCTAAAAGATGTGCAATTCTTTTTAGACCTAACATATTTCTAGATTCCATTCTTTTAAATCTGCTGCTTATTTCTTAACTTTTTGTGAGTTGTGTTTGTTTTTATGTTTTTATTTTAGTTACAAAAGCCGTTTATCAAACATTTAAATTAGAATCTGTGTTAAAAGTGCTTATTGATTATAGACTTTGTCTAAAAAGAAAGAGGGAATTAGGCTGTAAAAGTATTATTAAGTTAAACTACCCAATTCACATTCAAGTGGTGACTTTTGTTTTTGTTTTGACTACACGCCTGACCTTCCTCCTGCTGCAGATGCACACAGCACAGGAGCCTGGTCTGAAATGTGCTCCAATTCATATTGACTTAATTTGAAAATGCTGCAATTATTTTAAATTAGTAGAATATATGCTGAGATAAATGTTCATAGATAATTAATCACACAGTGCAAAAGTACATAATACATATTTTAAAATTTGAGAGATTTGAGTCTTGTTTTTTATTAAGAGAGAGTTTCTGGTTTTAAAAAGTTTCACATTAGTAAGATAATAAGTAATCTTTTATTTACAAAGCGCATGTGGGAAAACCCAGAGCGCTCCAAAATTGTTTTGACTTTAGGGAGAAAAACAATCTCATTCACAATCTCTGTTGTTTTTAAGTTGACTATAAGGTTGTTTTCCAGAACCAAGGGCACACACTGTACAGGGTCACTGGACAGCAGGAGTGGACACAGAGGGATCAGAACAGTGGCCCAGAGTAGACACCATCCAACCAGCCGCAGATCGTAAAGGCGACATAGCTACCTCCGTGTGCCCCTCCCCCCACTACAGACCGATGGTCGTAGGTGGCAGTGAGACCGGGGCCACAAAGTGGGGTTTTCTGTAGGCAGTGGTGGGTGAGTTGTTTTGCAATCTGGAAGTGTGCCCACTTTGCTTGTTTACATCGAGCCAGTGTGACCTTCTAATACAGGTGGCTCGAGGAGTCTTTAGACACAACCCCAAAATTCACACTCTACATACACACACACACACACACACACACACACTCACACATTCACATTTACATATAGATACATGAAAAAGCAGAACATGAGAAAAAAGCATTTTAAAAGTTTACTCCAATGTAAACACACATTTTTATTTGTCTATCACTTGAATCTGTATTTTTTGAGACCAGAAATGTTCATTTGAATTCTATATTGTCATGGACTAATTGACGTCTGTCCTGACACTTTTTATTTGTTGATTTTGTACTGTGTGAAGTAATTACATTGATTAGAATTAGATCTGATAAAAACACAAATTAGAGAAGTAAACTGCGCTTGCTTTTGTCTGAGGGACATTAGCAACAGCATGAATAGAAATGGTCTTTAAAGTAGAATCAAAGTGACTTAACCATAGAAAGTAACTATTGCATAACAAGCTGTGTACAGGAACTGAGACACTGCACCATTGACCAGAAGTGCATCGCAAATGACCTGATGTGCTTCAAGTGAAAAGACTGTATCTGGAGATCCTGATGTGCATCTGGAGAGACCAAAACCATGGCTTGGACCCTACTGATGTCCAAGATGACATCTCTCGAAATATGACCTGACCTGATGACGACTGAGACTCACCCTCAGGGGACCCTGAGGACCTGAGGATCTGAGGACCTGAGGACCCTGAGGACCTGGGGACCTGAGAGAGAAAAACTGGGGAGTGATGTTTATATTATTAAAATCATACATTGATGAGTGCTAAATGAGAGAGATACTCATGATTCTTTCTTTTGTTTTTGTTTGTCCCTAGCTTCTGGACATCTGATGATCTATTGGACACAGCCATTTGCAGAACAAGAACCAGCCAATGAAAAACCGTCTATTGCCGATGCTATTGCTACAACCAGAACCTGTGACCAAATGCAATATACATGTTAAGTATTCAGACATCTGACAGACAAAAACTTTGACTTTTTTGTCTGGGAGACTGAGCAACTGTTAAAATGTTTTAAAATGATAAAGTATGAGTATTGTAGCGTTTTAGTAGATGTTAAATAGTAGTAAAAAAGTAGAATTTGACTTCCTTTGTTTTTCATAAACATATTTCCACGTAAGAGTTAAAATAGTACCCTACAATGTTATACTTTTGATAGATCAGCTATAATATTAGAATCAGAGTTATGTTACAGCCATTAAAAGTGACAGAAGTCACAAATTAGGAATATGCCTTTGCTCAAGCTGCAGCCGAGCTTTTGAGTTAAAAAATAGAATTAGATAAATGCATCAACCATAGATGCTTTCAAAAATAGAGAATATTCTTAGCCAGTGCTAATATCAAATGGTAAAGGGACCATTTCACAAACATTTACTTCAGAAGTAAATAAAGTTACTTACAGTTTTATGTACAGTTTTATTAGATACTGTCAAATTCACTTGTGTCCACACATGAGTGAATGTTGACAATACAAAAAGTCCATATGAGTGTAGTCTAGATTAATGCCTAGATCAATGAGATAGATTACAACCAACAGAGATTTAAAAGCATTTTGATGTATTTGTGTATAGCACAAAAACAAAAAGTAGATATTTAGATATTGAGAAGTTTCCAGCACAAACACCATTGTAGAATAACTGACCCCAACCCCAAACCTGCTCAAATAGATTAGCTCTTGTAAGGATAATACTAATTTGATTAAAGATGTACATTCATCCCAAATTGCCTGATAGGAGGAAGTGACAGCACTTCCTGGTTCAACAAATGTATTTGGAAAACTGACCGCCATAATAATGTTCATATTAACCATTTGCCTTACTGTGTTCACAGTTTTATTCCTGAGAATGAGAATAGACATGGAGCAAAATCCCACTGATAATAAGCCACTGATAATGAGAGTGTAATACCACAGAGAGATTTATTAGTTTAAGAATATGGCTCAATAGAAGCAAATATGCAAACATATTTGTGAATAGATTAGAATAGTTTAAAACTATAGTGAATAATGAAAGTAAAGTACACAGTCTAAGATTGAAAAGTGAAAATAATACAGTGAAAATACAGTGAAGTGAAGAACAATTATCATTGGAATAAAAGTATAGAGTAATAAAAGTGAAATTAGCTTCTAATTTGAGACTCAGCTCGTTTTTTGTCTGTGTTTTGACTGAATCTGCTGAGTTCTACTGTGTCCAATAGTGTTTGTTTGTTTTTATTTTTTATTTGTTTTTTGTTTGTTTATTTACTTTATTTTTGTTTGTTTTGTTTTTTCCCAGGATAGAGGATAAAATCCACTGATATTGATTTGGATGATTATGAGTTTAATGCATAAATTTTCTTTGTTTTTTTAATATTTTTTAAAAAGTTTTTTTTAGATTTTTGTTTTCTTTTTCCACTTTATTGATTGATCAAATTGAGTGATCACATGTGATTATGTGATCAAAGGGGAGGGTGTTAGTATTAGATAGCAATATGGCCTACGTGCAGGACTGTACAAGGACTCTACAAGGACTCCATGTTATGACTATGATTTGACTGTCTCTTTGTGACACGTATGTCTTTCGATGTGTGACGTGACAATGACTATATAAACTGTGTACTGCCTTTATTCTGTCTGAGAGAAAGAAACAGAGTAAACCAGTGGAACTTGAGAGAAACTTAAATAAACTTCCAGAGTTTGGCGCACCACGATCCGTCTCTGTCTGCTAAATCCTAACAGTACCTCAGACTGTACCACTGACTGTACCTCTGACTGTACCACTGACTGTACCTCAGACTGTACCACTGACTGTACCACTGACTGTACCTCAGACTGTACCACTGACTGTACCACTGACTGTACCACTGACTGTACCTCAGACTGTACCTCAGACTGTACCACTGACTGTACTTCAGACTGTACCACTGACTGTACCTCAGACTGTACCACTGACTGTACCTCTGACTGTACCACTGACTGTACCACTGACTGTACCACTGACTGTACCTCAGACTGTACCACTGACTGTACCACTGACTGTACCTCAAACTGTACCACTGACTGTACCTCAGACTGTACCACTGACTATACCACTGACTGTACCTCAGACTGTACCACTGACTATACCACTGACTGTACCACTGACTGTACCTCAGACTGTACCACTGACTGTACCTCAGACTGTACCTCAGACTGTACCACTGACTGTACCTCAGACTGTACCACTGACTGTACCACTGACTGTGCCACTGACTTTACCTCAGACTGTACCACTGACTATACCACTGACTGTACCTCAGACTGTACCACTGACTATACCACTGACTGTACCACTGACTGTACCTCAGACTGTACCACTGACTGTACCTCAGACTGTACCTCAGACTGTACCACTGACTGTACTTCAGACTGTACCACTGACTGTACTTCAGACTGTACCACTGACTGTACCACTGACTGTACCTCAGACTGTACCACTGACTGTACCACTGACTGTACCTCAGACTGTACCTCAGACTGTACCACTGACTGTACTTCAGACTGTAGCACTGACTGTACCTCAGACTGTACCACTGACTGTACCTCTGACTGTACCACTGACTGTACCACTGACTGTACCTCAGACTGTACCACTGACTGTACCTCTGACTGTACCACTCACTGTACCACTGACTGTACCTCAGACTGTACCACTGACTGTACCACTGACTGTACCACTGACTGTACCACTGACTGTACCTCAGACTGTAACACTGACTGTACCACTGACTGTACCACTGACTGTACCTCAGACTGTACCACTGACTCCACTGACTGTACTTCAGACTGTACCACTGACTGTACCTCAGACTGTACCACTGACTGTACCTCAGACTGTACCACTGATTGTACCTCAGACTGTACCACTGACTGTACTTCAGACTGTACCACTGACTGTACCTCAGACTGTACCACTGACTGTACCTCTGACTGTACCACTGACTGTACCTCAGACTGTACCACTGACTGTACCACTGACTGTACCTCAGACTGTACCACTGACTGTACTTCAGACTGTACCACTGACTGTACCTCAGACTGTACCACTGACTGTACCTCTGACTGTACCACTGACTGTACCACTGACTGTACCACTGACTGTACCTCAGACTGTACCTCAGACTGTACCACTGACTGTACCTCAGACTGTACCTCAAACTGTACCTCAGACTGTACCACTGACTGTACCTCAGACTGTACCACTGACTGTACCACTGGCTGTACCACTGACTGTACCACTGACTGTACCTCAGACTGTACCACTGACTGTACCTCAGACTGTACCACTGACTGTACCTCAGACTGTACCACTGACTGTACTTCAGACTGTACCACTGACTGTACCACTGACTGTACCTCAGACTGTACCACTGACTGTACCACTGACTGTACCTCAGACTGTACCACTGACTGTACCTCAGACTGTACCACTGACTGTACCACTGACTGTACCACTGACTGTACCACTGACTGTACCTCAGACTGTACCTCAGACTGTACCACTGACTGTACCACTGACTGTACCACTGACTGTACCACAGACTGTACCTCAGACTGTAACACTGACTGTACCACTGACTGTACCTCAGACTGTACCACTGACTGTACCACTGACTGTACTTCAGACTGTACCACTGACTGTACCTCAGACTGTACCACTGACTGTACCACTGACTGTACCTCAGACTGTACCACTGACTGTACTTCAGACTGTACCACTGACTGTACCTCAGACTGTACCACTGACTGTACCACTGACTGTACCTCAGACTGTACCACTGACTGTACCACTGACTGTACCTCAGACTGTACCACTGACTGTACCTCAGACTGTACCACTGACTGTACCTCAGACTGTACCACTGACTGTACTTCAGACTGTACCACTGACTGTACCTCAGACTGTACCACTGACTGTACCACTGACTGTACCTCAGACTGTACCACTGACTGTACCACTGACTGTACCACTGACTGTACCTCAGACTGTAACACTGACTGTACCACTGACTGTACCTCAGACTGTAACACTGACTGTACCACTGACTGTACCTCAGACTGTACCACTGACTGTACCACTGACTGTACCTCAGACTGTAACACTGACTGTACCACTGACTGTACCTCAGACTGTACCACTGACTGTACCACTGACTGTACTTCAGACTGTACCACTGACTGTACCACTGACTGTACTTCAGACTGTACCACTGACTGTACCTCAGACTGTACCACTGACTGTACCACTGACTGTACCTCAGACTGTACCACTGACTGTACTTCAGACTGTACCACTGACTGTACCTCAGACTGTACCACTGACTGTACCTCAGACTGTACCACTGACTGTACCACTGACTGTACCTCAGACTGTACCACTGACTGTACCTCAGACTGTACCACTGACTGTACCACTGACTGTACCTCAGACTGTACCTCTGACTGTACCACTGACTGTACTTCAGACTGTACCACTGACTGTACCTCAGACTGTACCACTGACTGTACCTCAGACTGTACCACTGACTGTACCACTGACTGTACCTCAGACTGTACCACTGACTGTACCGCTGACTGTACCTCAGACTGTACCACTGACTGTACCTCAGACTGTACCACTGACTGTACCTCAGACTGTACCACTGACTGTACCACTGACTGTACCTCAGACTGTACCACTGACTGTACCGCTGACTGTACCTCAGGCTGTACCACTGACTGTACCTCAGACTGTACCACTGACTGTACTTCAGACTGTACCACTGACTGTACTTCAGACTGTACCACTGACTGTACCACTGACTGTACCTCAAACTGTACCACTGACTGTACCTCAGGCTGTACCTCAGACTGTACCTCAGGCTGTACCACTGACTGTACTTCAGACTGTACCACTGACTGTACCTCGACTGTACCACTGACTGTACCACTGACTGTACTTCAGACTGTACCACTGACTGTACCACTGACTGTACCTCAGACTGTACCACTGACTGTACCACTGACTGTACCTCAGACTGTACCACTGACTGTACCTCAGACTGTACCACTGACTATACCACTGACTGTACCACTGACTGTACTTCAGACTGTACCACTGACTGTACCTCAGACTGTACCACTGACTGTACCTCAGACTGTACCACTGACTGTACTTCAGACTGTACCACTGACTGTACCTCAGACTGTACCACTGACTGTACCTCAAACTGTACCTCAGACTGTACCACTGACTGTACCTCAGACTGTACCACTGACTGTACCTCAGACTGTACCACTGACTGTACCACTGACTGTACCTCAGGCTGTACCACTGACTGTACCTCAGGCTGTACCACTGACTGTACCTCAGACTGTACCACTGACTGTACCTCAGACTGTACCACTGACTGTACCTCAGGCTGTACCACTGACTGTACCTCAGACTGTACCACTGACTGTACCACTGACTGTACCTCAGGCTGTACCACTGACTGTACCTCAGACTGTACCACTGACTGTACCTCAGACTGTACCACTGACTGTACTTCAGACTGTACCACTGACTGTACCTCAGACTGTACCACTGACTGTACCACTGACTGTACCACTGACTGTACCTCAAACTGTACCTCAGACTGTACCACTGACTGTACCTCAGACTGTACCACTGACTGTACCTCAGGCTGTACCACTGACTGTACCTCAGACTGTACCACTGACTGTACCTCAGGCTGTACCACTGACTGTACCTCAGACTGTACCACTGACTGTACCACTGACTGTACCTCAGGCTGTACCACTGACTGTACCTCAGACTGTACCACTGACTGTACCTCAGACTGTACCACTGACTGTACTTCAGACTGTACCACTGACTGTACCTCAGACTGTACCACTGACTGTACCTCAGACTGTACCACTGACTGTACCACTGACTGTACCTCAGACTGTACCACTGACTGTACCGCTGACTGTACCTCAGGCTGTACCACTGACTGTACCTCAGACTGTACCACTGACTGTACTTCAGACTGTACCACTGACTGTACTTCAGACTGTACCACTGACTGTACCACTGACTGTACCTCAAACTGTACCACTGACTGTACCTCAGGCTGTACCTCAGACTGTACCTCAGGCTGTACCACTGACTGTACTTCAGACTGTACCACTGACTGTACCTCGACTGTACCACTGACTGTACCACTGACTGTACTTCAGACTGTACCACTGACTGTACCACTGACTGTACCTCAGACTGTACCACTGACTGTACCACTGACTGTACCTCAGACTGTACCACTGACTGTACCTCAGACTGTACCACTGACTATACCACTGACTGTACCACTGACTGTACTTCAGACTGTACCACTGACTGTACCTCAGACTGTACCACTGACTGTACCACTGATTAATATTTATGGGTGTGTATATATATTAATTTATTATATATGATTGTGTTGCAAGAATGTGCTGGGTTTGAATCCCGGTCGGAACAGGGCCTTTCTGAGTTGAGTTTGAATGTTCTCCCTGTGTCTGGGTAGGTTCCCACCGGGTGCTCCGGTTTCCCCTACCACTAAAAACATGTACAATAGTTCTGGCATGCACCTCCTGTACTGGCCCCGCTCCCATCTCTGTGTGGAGTGAGAGACTAATGCCCAGAAAAACAATCGTAAACCGCTTTGTGACTCTGGTCTGTGAAAGGCGTATATACAGTAAATAAATAAAGATTACTTACTTACTACTGCTTACTTACTGTTAAACTTGTGAATATAACATGATATATAACAAAAACAATCTGTTGAAAGGCTAATGCTAAAGGCTAACTGCTGACAGTTAACCGTGTTGCTATGGTAACCAGCACTCACACTTTTCTGGTGGAAGAAAACCACACCGAACCAGGACCAGTCCAAGTCCAGTCCAAGTCCAGTCCAAGTCCAGTACCTTAAAACAGACCTTTAACTGACATAGAAAGAACCAACCAAGATTAACGTGATAATGACATAGAAATGATTTAGAAACAAAAAAAGTCATAATTTTAGGAAGACCATAAATGTACACAGTAATTACACTTCCAAAACTGAAACCTCTGACCGTCTTTCATCTTTCCAGGCCTCGAGACTGGACCTGAACGATGCTGTGTCCGACCATCTGCTCTGGTTAAACGACCTGTCAGAGCGCACAGACACACTTCACATCAACACTACTGCTTTTGTTCAGGTACAGCTTCACTTTATTCATAAACAAGTAACGCTAGAAATATCATCAGGGAATCTCTGGGAGCTCGCTGCACCGTGAGGCCTCGTCCGTTAGCCTGAGTCCTGGATCTACATCCTGTCCGCCTGTGGGAGTGGATCCCTCTGTGTCTGGATCTCGAGGTTTCTCACTGAGAGTCCTGTGAGTTCTAACTAAAAGGGCATTAATGACGATCACTCAACATTCAACAGCATTTATCAACAATTAAAGGTGCAGTAAGCAATGTTGTTAGCTTAGCCGTAGCACCAACTGGAAACCACTGAATGGAGTTTACATGTTCTCCCTGTGTCTGCGTAGGTTTCCTCCAGGTACTCCGGTTTCCCCTACTACTAAAAACATGTACAATAGGTCTGTACCTCCTGTACTGGCCCCGCTCCCATCTCTGTGTGGAGTGTAATTGTAAAACGCTTTGACTCTGATCTGTGAAAGGCGCTACATAAATAAACATTACTTACTTAACAATACAGGATGGATCTTCTGTCTTCCACCTTCATGGCTAATGTTCATGTACCATTGATAAATAATAGAATAATTACTAGTTTGTATTTAGTGTAAGGTGGGCGACGGAATCTAAAATATTGCATTTCAACCTAAAATAAATTGAAATCTGTCCACAGACCAATCCAAAGCCCTGTGTGTGGAGCACAGGGACACGTGGCTCCTCTCTGCTTCAGACGCGGAGCAACGACGATGCCGCCTCCGAGATGTCGTGTAATTGGTGAAGAAGAATCAACGGGCAGGGTTTACATGACGGTGTACGCATTTACATTTTTTCTGTGAAATGGTCTTTGATATATGGTTTTGGTTTTGCCTCTCCTTCGTAAATAAATGAATAAAAATATACATGAAACGTGAGAAATGGGATGAGTTGTTGAAGGTTAGAACACGTTAGCATAGTTGCTCATTAAGATGAAGAAAAATGTGATTGATTGATTGATATATACATGTGATCAGCAGAAGGTAATCAATATGGGAAATAAACAACAAAATCAATACAACACAATATTATTATTGCCATTATTTTCTTGGTACGAGACTTGGTACGGGGCAACAGTAGCTCAGTTGGTAGAGCATTGGCCTTTAGGCCTGAAGGTTGTGGGTTCAATTCCCACCTTGACACCTTCTCCACCGACTCCCACTGATGACTGCTGTCGTTGTGTCCTTGGGCAAGACACTTAACCCCACTTTGCCCAAAAAGCCCCCGCTGAGAGATCATAGCTGTGCTTACATTGACAGAGCAACCATCCTCCTTTGGACTCACCACCTGCAGAGGATCAGTGAGGGGCAGGTGCTTTATGACTTGGGTGGCATCTCTGACTGCCACCCCCCCGACCCAGAAATGGATTAAGGGGTAGAAAATGGATGGATGGATTTTCTTGGTAATGCAACAAAATATCACAATAATCCAGTAAAATCAACAGTAATACATTCCATGAAAAGAATAACAGGAGTAGGATGAACAACTATGATTTACTTCTCCACACTAGTCTAGTAGAGAGGAGTGGGCTGGTGGAAACGGGGCCACCGCTCCCTGACTGCAGGCTGCAGTTGCTCCTCCTCACCGCTGCGTGGCGCTCACTCTGCAGTGTCCCGTGTGTTGTAAACAGAGATCCGTGGAGCGCGTGGGAGACACTTACTTTCAGTCTGTGGCAGAAACGACAGCAGCTAAAACCACTCTTTACACCCAGATAAATCACCTTCATCAGAACAACTGTCCAACTCTCCGACAGCGCTGTCACTATGGCCGAGAGCGACTGGGACACGGTCACGGTTCTGCGGAAGAAGGGACCCACCGCTGCCCAGGCCAAATCCAAACAGGTTAGCATGGCTCCCCCGGACACTAACTACCACCAAACTTCCCTGGTGTTCGCCTGAAATGTGGGACTTTACACTCAGAAAACACGCAGTGGTCCTGACATGCTACGTGCTAAGCTAACGAATGCTAACTTTAAGTCAACAAACAAAACCAAAACCCTTCCATTTTGTGTGCGCACTAACGAGTCTCCATGATGTCATTTGTCTTAAAGCTGGGGTACCTGTCTCTTCTCTTCATGGATTTTGCAATATATAATTCTGCGCCACACAGGAAGAACTGAAGCCACACATGGGTTAGGGTTAGGCAACAAAGAAGGAAGAACATAACAAAACACGTTCAACGAGAATCTGTAAAACATGAATTATTATTTTAAAAGAAATAGTTTGGCGTTGTTCCTGGTGACTTTATATAGTTGCATACATACACACATACATGCTAGATAAAACGTTAGTTTTGCCTCAACTGACGTAACTGACGTAAGACAACTGTTGTGACTGAATCAGACCACCACAAGCTGTGAGTCACGCTTTTGGCTGAGAACATTCTAGCAATAGTATTTATTTATTTCAAACATACATTTCTAATTCAGCTTACATTAAACAAAGAACGCCTTGAAAAGGCGTTAAACTAGTGATGGAGCTACACTGATTTTGAGAGTGGGTAAATAGTCTTCTGTTTACAATTTGTCGTTTGAATATCCTAACTTGTTTGTAGTTTTGTGTGATTCAGCTGTAGACCCAGGACTGAGGCTGTAGACCCAGGACTGACGGCACGGTGGCTGAGTGGATAGCACTCTTGCCTCTCAGCAAGAAGGTCCTGGGTTCGAATCCCGGCCGGACCAGTGCCTTTCTGAGTGGAGTTTTCATGTTCTCCCCGTGTCTGCGTAGGTTTCCTCCGGGTACTCCGGTTTCCCCTACCTCTAAAAATATGTACAATAGTTCTGGCATGCGCCTCCTGTTCGGCGACCCCGCTCCCATCTCTGTGTGGAGTGAGAGACAAATGCCCAAAAAATAATATAACAATTGTAAACCGCTTTGTGACTCTGGTCTGTGAAAGGCCGTATATAAATAAAGCTTACTTACTGAGGCTGTAGACCCAAGACTGAGGTTGTAGATCCAGGACTGAGGTTGTAGACCCAGGACTGAGGCTGTAGATCCAGGACTGAGGCTGTAGATCCAGGACTGAGGCTTGTAGACCCAGGACTGAGGCTGTAGATCCAGGACTGAGGCTGTAGACCCAGGACTGAGGCTGTAGATCCAGGACTGAGGCTGTAGATCCAGGACTGAGGCTGTAGACCCAGGACTGAGGCTGTAGACCCAGGACTGAGGCTGTAGACCCAGGACTGAGGCTGTAGATCCAGGACTGAGACTGTAGACCCAGGACTGAGGCTGTAGACCCAGGACTGAGGCTGTAGATCCAGGACTGAGGCTGTAGATCCAGGACTGAGGCTGTAGATCCAGGACTGAGGCTGTAGATCCAGGACTGAGGCTGTAGACCCAGGACTGAGGCTGTAGATCTAGGACTGAAATCTTCTCAATAACAAGCTTGTACTTGTCAATATAGTATATATTATAGTATAAAATAATGTATATGTTTTTGGTTTAACTCAGCTGTGTTTTTTATTATCTAATAAATGTATTTATTAATTTATTAATCAAAAATAAATATTAGCATATTTTATATTATTAATATATATTATATATTATAATATTAGTTTATTTCTTCATTTGGTGAAATGTGAGCTGAAAAAGCTAAACTAAAAACTTGTGTGTTTTGTGTTTCAGGCGATCGCTGCTGCACAGAGACGTGGAGAAGATGTCGAGACGTCCAAGAAATGTAAATACAGCATTTCTGTGGCTCTTACAAACCTGTGTACAATAAACTAGCAAAAATTATTCAATTTTCATAAAAGCAATAACTGCTGCTTGTTTGTTTTTTTCTCCAAACGGGGTTAAAGTTCCAATCATTATTATTTATTTATTGGTAAATGTTTAACTCAGTAGTAATGATAAGTCAGATCAACAGCTGTGTCAGTGTCAGTGTCAAAATCTCCTCCTGCCCCCAGGGGGAGCTCTAGCATGATATAAAAAATACATACATTGGCTGCAAAATTCAAATAACTTAAAAAATTGGCGGCTTTTATTCCAGCTCGTACTGCATTTATATAGATTTACCTCCTTTACATTCTACTGAGACAATAGTTTCTTGATTCTGGATAATTCTCTGAGGACAACATACCTGTTTACTTCCAGTGGCTCTGAGGGCCTCATTTTCACACCAGTCTCTACACATCTCATTAAAGACTAAAACATGTCAAATGACCCCACATCTGTGCTTACACTTTGTACAAAAACAGTCGGACACTAGACTTTGCTCTGTGTCTTAGGGTCGGCGGGTCAGAACAAGCAGCATCTGGTCACAAAGAACACGGCCAAACTGGACCGGGAGACAGAGGAGCTGCACCACGAGCGCGTCCCTCTGGAGGTCGGGAAAGTCATCATGAAAGGAAGACAAGACAAGGGCATGACGCAGAAAGACCTGGCCACTGTGAGTATCTGCCTCTGTCCATCTGAGCACTTCATTATGTCCTCTTTAAGGTTTATGAGGGTGTTTTCATAAGACTTAGAGAAGTTTGTGTAAGCTCTCAGTCGTACAGGGACTAGTCAAAGCAAAGGAAGGTTTCTCACCCATCATCTGTACTCTCAGGAAAACCTGCTAAGAAGAACTGATGATGGGTGAGAAACCTTCCTTCGATAAGACTAAGAGTAAAGAAGAGAGTTCTGCTTTATCGCCACATCAGAGGAGGTTGTTGTGTCTCTGATCAGCTGTTTCTGATGCAGTGTGACAGATTGTAAACCGCTTTGTGACTCTGGTCTGTGAAAGGCGGTATATAAATAAAGCTTACTTACTGAGGCTGTAGACCCAAGACTGAGGTTGTAGATCCAGGACTGAGGCTGTAGATCCAGGACTGAGGCTGTAGATCCAGGACTGAGGCTGTAGACCTAGGACTGAGGCTGTAGATCCAGGACTGAGGCTGTAGATCCAGGACTGAGGCTGTAGATCCAGGACTGAGGCTGTAGACCCAGGACTGAGGCTGTAGACCCAGGACTGAGGCTGTAGATCCAGGACGGAGGCTGTAGACCCAGGACTGAGGCTGTAGATCCAGGACTGAGGCTGTAGATCCAGGACTGAGGCTGTAGATCCAGGACTGAGGCTGTAGATCCAGGACTGAGGCTGTAGATCCAGGACTGAGGCTGTAGATCCAGGACTGAGGCTGTAGATCCAGGACTGAGGCTGTAGATCCAGGACTGAGGCTGTAGACCCAGGACTGAGGCTGTAGACCCAGGACTGAGGCTGTAGACCCAGGACTGAGGCTGTAGACCCAGGACTGAGGCTGTAGATCCAGGACTGAGGCTGTAGATCCAGGACTGAGGCTGTAGATCCAGGACTGAGGCTGTAGATCCAGGACTGAGGCTGTAGACCCAGGACTGAGGCTGTAGATCCAGGACGGAGGCTGTAGACCCAGGACTGAGGCTGTAGATCCAGGACTGAGGCTGTAGATCCAGGACTGAGGCTGTAGACCCAGGACTGAGGCTGTAGACCCAGGACTGAGGCTGTAGACCCAGGACTGAGGCTGTAGACCCAGGACTGAGGCTGTAGATCCAGGACTGAGGCTGTGATCCAGGACTGAGGCTGTAGATCCAGGACGGAGGCTGTAGACCCAGGACTGAGGCTGTAGATCCAGGACTGAGGCTGTAGATCCAGGACTGAGGCTGTAGATCCAGGACTGAGGCTGTAGATCCAGGACTGAGGCTGTAGACCCAGGACTGAGGCTGTAGACCCAGGACTGAGGCTGTAGACCCAGGACTGAGGCTGTAGACCCAGGACTGAGGCTGTAGACCCAGGACTGAGGCTGTAGATCCAGGACTGAGGCTGTAGATCCAGGACTGAGGCTGTAGATCCAGGACTGAGGCTGTAGACCCAGGACTGAGGCTGTAGATCCAAGACTGAGGCTGTAGATCCAGGACTGAGGCTGTAGATCCAGGACTGAGGCTGTAGACCCAGGACTGAGGCTGTAGTCGGTAAAATAGTGACATATTTACGACTGGAAATGAAAAGATATTTGTAATATTCAACCTTTTATGTATTTAGTTTAATTGACAAATGTGTAAATTTTGAGCCGAGATGGAAACTGTTAAGATTCGATTATGTTTCAGAAGTTTTTGTTCTTTTATTAGAACAATAAATGCTAATAATATAGATTAGGGCTGTCAAAATTATTGCGTTAACTCACGTTAATTACATTTTTCATTAACGCGTTTTTTTTTTTTAAAACGCATTAACGCATGTCCGAATGACCCGCCCATTTATCCATAAGAATATCACTCAGAATGCTGCGTGTGAGATGGCCTCCTCCGTGGCCGCTCTGGTTGTTGTTAGCGGCTGTGAGTGAGTGCAAGCTTTGCACGGGCTGCAAGCATGGATCTAGCTATTATAATAACAGCAGCAAGCGATTGCTCCGTTCACATACTCAGCGCTCTGCGCACTGTATTCTCCCTGGTTCTTGACTGTCAGGCGCGAGTGTTGCTCGTGTGTGTCTTTGGGAACTAATTATTTAAAAATAGTCTCTTTCAATTGCAAGTTTTGTAATCTGTTTGTTTGATCAATGGATAAAAATAAATGCAATTTAATTAAATGGCACCTTGGCCTGTCTTATACCTGTTTGCCTGCAGGACAGTTCCCTAAACTAACATATCATACTAAAATAGGGTGGGGTTGTTGCAACAATTAATCTACTTAGAAGTTATCCTAAATTACAGCCAGCTAAAACTCGGTACCACAACAAACGAAAAAGTAACGCAATAGTTACTTTTACTGGTAACTAGTTACTTTTATAGTGGAGTAACTCAGTTAGTAAGTCAATTACTTTTTGGAAGAAGTAACTAGTAACTTCTAAATCTCATTTAAATTCAATTGGAGTGGATTTAAAATAGAATGTTAAACATGCGATTAATCATGAGTTAACTCACCATTACTATGCGATTAATCAACTAAAAAAAAATTAATCGTTTGACAGCCCTAATATAGATCCTATTTTTTTTTATATATTTTATGTATTAAACAAATTATTGTTACATGCTTAAAATGGCAAGAATGGAAGAACATAAATGATGGAAACTGAAATCAAAATGAAAGACAAAATTAAATCAGGAAGTGGGAGCACTGACCATCAACTGAGACGAGGGGGCCTCCACCTTGGCTCGCACTCGGGACTCACAGGGGGCCTCCACCTTGGCTCGCACTCGGGACTCACAGGGGGCCTCCACCTTGGCTCGCACTCGGGACTCACAAGGGGGCTCCACCTTGGCTCGCACTCGGGACTCACAGGGGGCCCCTCCACCTTGGCTCGCACTCGGGACTCACAGGGGGCCTCCACCTTGGCTCGCACTCGGGACTCACAAGGGGGCTCCACCTTGGCTCGCACTCGGGACTCACAGGGGGCCCCTCCACCTTGGCTCGCACTCGGGACTCACAGGGGGCCTCCACCTTGGCTCGCACTCGGGACTCACAGGGGGCCGGGGCAGTGATCTGTCGGAGCACATTCGCTAACAGCTGATCAGAGACATGTCACACCATCACACTTTTGTCTTTTCAAGCCTTGAGGACTTGTTTTTAACTGACCATAACCATTTCTTCTTCATTTGTAGAAAGTGAATGAGAAGCCCCAGATTATCGGTGATTACGAGTCTGGAAAAGCTATTCCCAACAACCAGATTTTGGGCAAAATAGAGAGAGTACTGGGTGAGTACTCCTTTACATTCATAGATGTATTCACTTGTTGCAAATGGTGATTGTCAACGCTTCTTGTCCTTAGGGTTGAAACTGCGCGGGAGAGAGATTGGGCAACCTCTTGAGGCGAAACCCAAAAAGAAATGAACACAAAGCCTCGAAATCAGCCCTCCCTTCACCCATTGTTCCCACGAATGTCCTTTTGAGTCTCATCCTTGTCCTTTTAACCAACACTTTTCCCCCTGTTCCCTTTGGGCTGATCTCACCAGTGTTCTGCGTTTCGTTGTATTCAGGCAAAACACTTGTAAACAAATCTCAAACTTCTAATAAAGATGAATGATTGAATGCACCTTGAGCTTGAGAAAGTTTGACTTCTGTTATTTTCCATGAACGTTGGTTTGACTAGTTTACATTGACTGCTCATGTTAACATATAGAAGTAAGGGTTAAACAAGGAGTATGCGATTGTATGGATTGAATGTGCGATGCAGAGTGTAGATGTAGTTTAATTTAGCTTATACCATGGGCAAAACACTGTCGTAGCTCATTTTAAAACTCAGAACAGCCCAAATCAAGTCAAAACAGTTTTTCAATGAGTGTTGTCTGCCACTGGACCAGCAAGGTTCACAAAAAGGCCCTCTTACTGAAAGGTTTGGACACCCCTGGCTTATACCATGGTCAAAACACTAACACACTCATTTTGTTAGAACAACATATATTCTTTTGTGTGTGTTGTCCTCCACGCTCTCAATCATCTGTTTACCACTGAGAGATAGCTAAAGCTCGTTAGCAACAGTAGCTAAGACCAAAATGTAGACCCATTCACAGAAGGAAAAGGCAAAGTTTTCCGACAGTTAACTTGTGAATTCTACAATATAATTTGCATGTTTGGCAACTTAATTAAACGTCCTACTGTATAATAAACTTTTAAAAGTCCGTTTATGTGTGTCCGGGCGGCACGGTGGCTGAGTGGATAGCACTCTCGCCTCTCAGCAAGAAGGTCCTGGGTTCGAATCCTGGTCGGACCAGGGCCTTTCTGAGTGGAGTTTGCATGTTCTCCCGTGTCTGCGTAGGTTTCCTCCGGGTACTCCGGGTTCCCCTACCACTAAAAATATGTACAATAGTTCTGGCATGCGCCTCCTGTACTGGCCCCTCCCATCTCTGTGTGGAGTGAGAGACAAATGCCCAAAAATAAACAATTGTAAACCGCTTTGAGACTCAGATCTGCAGTGAAAAGGCGGTATATAAATAAAGATTACTTAATTACTTAAAGTTTATAAGCCAAAGTGCAGTTTAACCGTTTGTGCTAATGCTGTGCGTTGCTATGGTGACAGCTCAGGCGGAGTGATATGGAACTTGTTATTTAATAAGCTTTACGGTATTAATGAACAATAGTTTGTGTTGGTATATTTATACTATTCTGAATGCTGGTGTATCTCGATCACAAAGCTTCAAATCATATCGTCTGATAATGCTGCAACAGACATGGCCGCTAGGTGTCACTATTGGACAGTTTGACTTTACTCTCAGATTGTCTTGTATAGATCTTGATGAAGATTATCAAAGAAAGTTATTACCTTCCTCAGAACACTCTCAAAACATGTAATCTACTGGAACTACAAACATGATCTACAGCCTCCGTCCTGGATCTACAGCCTCAGTCCTGGATCTACAGCCTCAGTCCTGGATCTACAGCCTCAGTCCTGGATCTACAGCTTCAGTCCTGGATCTACAGCCTCAATCCTGTCGTCTTCAGCAGAACTATCTTGGTTCTGTTGAGGCTCGTCCAGCTCCTCATGAACATCAGTCTCCATCTCTTGAGTTGTGCTTGCTTCTTTCCATCTGTCCATTTCTGGTGTGGCATCATGGGGAACATCACAAACCATTACCTCCTCACTTACAGTCTGAGTGAGTACTGGTGACTGTTCCTGGTGCTGCTTGTTCAACACCATCAGTAGCAGTGTCTTCATGGGACTCTACATACACAAACTGAACCTCCTCAATTTCATCCAGAAAAGCCTCTGCTCAGACGTGACCAGGAACAGTCACCAGAAGTCGCGCAGACTGAAAACGAGGAGGTACCAGTTCACACTGTCCACAATGAAGAGGACCGCACCACAATTTTTGAAGAAAGCGTTGGAATTACAAATGAAAACTGCCTGACAAGTCCTTTTGGAGACTTGACTCTGAGGGCTCAAGAGACAGTGGTCAATGACACGGTTAGTTCTACGTCTTCAGAGAGCAGTTTATCACCGGAACCATCTACTGAACCATGTAGGATTTCTCCAAGTCTCCACAAAGGCTCCTACTTCATCACCAACGCACTCACCCAAAAACTGATCAAACTGGCTGGATCCAAAGACCACCGTAACGCCAGTCTAATGGGTGTCCGCCTGCATCACAGCATCAAGCAGCAGCTGGAGTTAGATGAAAACTGCCAGATAAAGCTGAAGAACTTAGAGAAAGTCGGTAAAGCAGTGGCTAAACGTCTCTCTGTGGAGTATGGATCGGCAGGAGCAGTCCTGAGTGCGGCTTGAGAGGACACAGCTGCATTTGAAGCGGCTGCAGCGAAACATATAAACGCTGAACTGAGTGGGTTCCAGAAGCGTCCCAAGTCCGCGCTGTTACGGCTCTTCTCCAGGATGAGGAGGGCCTTCACCTTCAACTAAGGACCTGCGCCAGAGGACCAGCACTTCCACCATTTTTGAGGAGATACTAGTTGCTTTCTTGAATATGTGTTCCCAGTGTTTTTTAACAGAACTTAGAATTATTTTCGAGGAGGCTTTTCTATGTGTTGCTTTCTTGAAGATTCTCCAAGTCTTTTAACAACACTTCGAACCATTTTTGAGGAGGTACTCGTGGATTTCTTGAAGATGTGTTCCCAGTGTCGGTCCTCTAATGGTCTTGGGATGAAGCTCAAAACTAATCAATAAAATATGCATAGCAATGATTTGTTAAGTGTTATTATTCAGATTTACCCTTGGGTTTTGTGTAAACTGAATTCTACATGCATTCAAAAATAATAAGTAAGGAATACATTTGTCATAAGTTTGAACTTCTAAAAAGGTTAAAATGCACTTTGAAGCAACTGTGGTTAAAGTTCGGACTCATCATTCTAACATATGCAGAAGACAGTACTTTTCCACTGCATGTTTTGGTTGCTCAGGGTTGAAGCTGCTGATCGGAGGTCTCCACTTCTGATTCTGTATATTATCATTTGCAGTCTGTAAAATCCTTCGTTTGTGTTCAAGCATCTAACATCAACAATAAAACATGTCTTCTGTCTGAATTAAAGACACGATCCCAGACTTGGTCATCTTCTTCCATGTATCTAGATATGTTTTGTGTTGACTGTGAAAAGTTAATTTGTTAATCACAAAATAAACAAATGATGCCTCTGAACCTTGTTGTGGCAGGGGTCTCCAACCTGTAGCTCAGGAGCCACCAGTAGCTCGCCACCCCATTCCAGGTTGCTCGCCAAAGAAATTAGAAATGAACACATCAAATAAAACACTTAATATTTCAGATTGTGTAATTCATTATCATAATTTAGTACTGTATATCCACTTACTTTGTCACTAGTAACAAATATGCAAAGATAAAAAATGACTGTACCCAATATCAGGCTCGTTCACACCAATATGTCACCAATTTCTTTCCCAATTCCGCTTAAAGGAGTAGCTCTCTGCCTTATGGTCCCAGCAAAGTGGCTCTCTGCATGAAAAAGGTTGGAGACACCTGGTGTAAAGTGACCCTGTTGCTTGAGCCGTTCTGCAGTCATTCCACCTCAGCTGCTCCTGCCACCGCTGATCTTGTTTCGTGATAAATTGGTTTCACGAAATAGCGTGATCCGTATCTTGTACAAACATCTTAATCGTAATCTTGAAATAACGTGACACAAAAAAAAAAACTAGCAAGTGAACCCAAACCGCCCTCCCTAAGATCTTTCAAAGCCTAAAAACGTCAAAAATTCATTAATTTTCTTCCGCTTTATCCGTTGCCAGGTCGCGGAGCAGCTGTCAGGAGGGTCTGAGGACAGTGGTGACGATCCAGGACATTTGGACATTAAACGGCGTTGGGTTATTGCATTTCCTGAGTTTGAACCTGTGCCTCAGAAGCTAATGACGAACTTACTAAACTAAACAGCTCTGAATGCAGACGCTGCTCCCTCTTCACCACAACAGTCCAATGCAGCGCCACATCTTTCTCTGAATCGTGACCAAGACCCTGAGAGACTTGACCTCCTCCACTTTTGGAAGGACCTCTCCACCTACTACATAATAATAAGAATAAATCGACACAAACATTTTTACTGATTTAAATATTTAATTGATACAGAGGTTCATAACTTAAGACCAGCTCGGGCTTTTTGATTCCTTTTAATCTATGACTTTGATTCAGTGTACAAGGACGTGAAAAGCCAGTTTCACAGAACTCAAAGATATTTACATCGCTGTAAGATACAAAACAAAAGGCACAAATGTCATGACGAACGTTTCAGTTTAATTCTGGAAAATGGCCTCTTGATGATCGCAGCGAGTTTCATTTAAAGAAAACGCTTCATATGAGACGTTTACAAAGCAACACACTGTGAACTGAATTGTTCGTACCTCATTCAGAGATAAACCTCTGAAACCACTGTTTTAACTGAGGGTCATTCACTACAGAGCAGAGGCCCGCTTGACTCCACACAGTCCTCACATGGTTCAGAGCAGCTCTGCGGTGTCCTCAGGCGTAGAGCAGCTCTGCGGTGTCCTCAGGCGTAGAGCAGCTCTGCGGTGTGGCACAGACACAGAGGGTGAGCAGAGGAGAAGTACTGGCAGCAGAGCCAGTCCTCCAGCTCTGCGTTTCTCTCCGGTTCCAGAGAGCGCTCTGCAAACTTCATCATGAGCAGCGCTCGCTTCACGTCCAGCCAGTTCAGGAGGCCCTCGTGCTTAGAAGCGTCCATGAGACTGGCGCCCTGGCCGTGCCGCTCTCTCTGCTGCTCCATCAGCTCCTTCCGCGGGCCCCAGAGGAGGCTCTGGAGGATGCGCTTGGCCTCCTGGATGTGGATGCGTTTGATGGGGTCCGGCTGAAGCAGCAGCTGAGCTAGCTTCTGTAGTCCGTCTGAATACAGCGAGAGCGACGGGATGGAGGGCAGGTCCTCACAGCGATAGTCCTGCTCTCTCAGAGCCGGACTCACTTCAAACGGGTTGTGTTGGTGCAGCAGCTCATAGATCAGGATCCCAGTCTGGAACTCATCAAACTTGCGATACTGAGCCGCAGAGACGATCTCTGGGGCGAGTCTGGCATGGTCTCGTTTGGTTCTGGGGTCTACACTGTGGAACGCAGCGTCCTCCGCCGAGCGCCGCTTCGCTTTAGCAAAGTTACTGATGAGGAGTCGAGGCAGGTGGCGCTGCAGGACCAAAGGACTGGACTCAGTGTCTCCACAGGGCAGCAGTCTGCGCTGATGAGGAACCAGCAGGAGGTTCTCCAGACACAGGTCTCTGTGCGTCACTCCGTGATCCTTCAGGTGCTCCAGGCCGTTACACAGCTGCAGCAGCAGGAAGCAAACTCTCCGCTCATACACCTCCGGCTGCTCTTTGTGGAAACTCCCCCACTGACGCACAAAGTCTGCAGCCGTCTGCTGAGGCACGTCTGGGGTGATGACCACCACCCTCTCCCGCTCCAGGGGGGGGGCAGTGGGCGGGGCAGTGGGCTTAGTGACCTCCTCAGGGGGCAGCATGCTCTGAGGGACACAGGCCATGAAGTGCCCACAGTCCTGCTGCAGGTTGTAGTGCGGGCGCAGAGTCTGCAGCACCGACAGGCCGTACAGATGCCCCTGTTTGGCCTCCACACACGGACTCTTGCAGATCTGAACACAAGGAGAAGGTCAGTTATTCATATTAGTTTAAAGTTCAATTGTAAATATTTAGCAAAAAAGTTCAACATTCAGTTAAAATACAATTGATTTCCAGATTGACAGAAACACATATTTCAATATTATTAGAAACACAAATTTCAACATTATTATATTATTGTTTTTGTGATTTCAAACTAGAAACACATTATTTCTTGCAGCACCAGCAGATGGCGCTGTTGCTCTGTGTTTCAGACTTCCTGTTTGAACTTTATTTAAAGAGAAGATCATGCTGTGAGGCAAACACATGTGAACTAGTGAGAGGAACAGACACACGCACACACAGACATATACACACACACGTACACGCACACACACACACGCACACACAGACATATACACACACACGTACACACACAGACATATACACACACACACACACCTCCGTCACTGATGAGTCACTCGCTGCTTGTGGAGTCTGTTGTCAGTGATAGTTGCGTTTGTTTCCTTTAAATCAAGTTTACTTTCACACACTGAGATCACATGAAACTACACCACTGCCTTCCTACCGACTAACCTGAAGGGGAGCCACTTTAGTTCCCCAGATTTACCAGGGGCCAACAACCTGGATTTTAAATCTGTTTTAGGAACGATCTCACCAAAGCGTCATTAGCGCGAGTTTTGTGACATAATCCAAAGTGTCTATTCTAATGAAGTGAACCGGATTCTAGAGATTCTGATGAGGTAAAACAAATCTATAGTGGCAGAGCTGAAGTTGGCTGGATGACATGTGAACCACAATATGTTAGCACACACACTTGGCCCACGGGCCTCAGTTTGGAGCCTCACCTTGACAGCGTAGGAGTGGCTGGGGTCGGAGGCGCAGGCGGCTGAATAGTAAAGTGCGTCTCCTCCGCTGCAGCTCGGTTTGTTGGAGATGAGTCGAAACAAAGACCAGTTGCTCTCCTCAAACCTCAGAGGGTTCTTCTGGGAGTGCGTGAAGTGGTCTTCACACTTCAGAGCCAGTCTCCGCAGGGACTCAGCGTACAGTCCCCCCAGTTTGGAGTACACTCCCTCCCTGCTGTCAATGTTGCTGAGCAGAGTCTGAAGCTGCAGAGAGGAGCCCACGGTCGGAGCTGATCCTGGATCAGTGCAGTGCAGGGGCCCGCTGAGCTGAGGGGACGAGGAGCAGGTGAGGCTGCTGCGGCTGTGGACCCCGAGTCTCCTCTTCAGAGGTTCATCTAACGTCCTGCAGCGAGAGGGCTTCCCCAGAGCGCCGTGTCGCTCCAGACACTCACTGGAGGAGGACATGGACTGTGGGTCCACAGGGCTGGACGGAGGGCTGGGATCAAGACTCCTGGAGCTGGGATCAAGACTCCTGGAGCTGGGATCAAGACTCCTGGAGCTGGGATCAAGACTCCTGGAGCTGGGATCAATACTCCTGGAGCTGGGATCAAGACTCCTGGAGCTGGGATCAAGACTCCTGGAGCTGGGATCAAGACTCCTGGAGCTGGGATCAATACTCCTGGAGCTGGGATCAATACTCCTGGAGCTGGGATCAATACTCCTGGAGCTGGGATCAATACTCCTGGAGCTGGGATCAATACTCCTGGAGTTGGGATCAAGACTCCTGGAGCTGGGATCAAGACTCCTGGAGCTGGGATCAAGACTCCTGGAGCTGGGATCAATACTCCTGGAGCTGGGATCAAGACTCCTGGAGCTGGGATCAAGACTCCTGGAGCTGGGATCATGACTCCTGGAGCTGGGATCAAGACTCCTGGAGCTGGGATCAAGACTCCTGGAGCTGGGATCAAGACTCCTGGAGCTGTCTGAAGGCAGGAGGAGGTTTGGGTACGAGCGAATGAACTGCTTCCCACTGTCCGGAGCCGACATGGTTCTGTTGACCATCTTCTTCTCTGGCAGCGGAGGAGGCAGGTTAGAGTCACCGGAGTTCTGCTGCGGCGAGCGAGGAGCGGCGGACGGAAGACTGCGAGGGAACGGAGACGAACACGGCCTGGGAGCGGCGTTTCCAGAACCTGAGGACGAGAGGTCACAGGTCAGTCTCTGCACAATCCACTCAAGTGTCCGTCATCCTAAAGAATTTTCAAAGTACTGTAAAAGTATAATATTTATTAGTATAAAATCTCTAACTTCAGCATAATATAGAAGAAAGGTTAAACGTTCTAGCTTTAGCCAATGTAAAGTCCTGCAGTGTCGAGTGCAGATATATATATATATATATATATATATATATATATATATATCTGTACATTAGCAGCATGAGGCCCTGGGACACAGTGACAGTCACGCTTCTGTATTGCACATATGACATTAGTTATTGCACATCCTCACATTAGTTATTGCACATATGACATTAGTTATTGCACATATGACATTAGTTATTGCACATATTACATTAGTTATTGCACATATGACATTAGTTATTAGCTGTGGAAGAGCCGCTCGTGTTGTTTACAGTGAGTGCATCAAAATACTTGCGAAACAAATTCAAACAAAATGCCGCCAAAGAAAGTACAGGCAGCATCCCCGCCAGTGGATGAAGCCGAGGATCTAAAAAAGTCACTTGAGTTCTTAGCGGCAGATGTCGCAGCGATCAGAGACGACCAGAGAAAGATTCTTGCGCTTACAGAGGAAGTCAAGCAGCTGCGTCTCGAAAACGCTGAGAAGGACAAGAGGATCGAGGAATTGGAAAAGAGAGTGGACGAATTGGAGCAATACACAAGGATCAATGATGTGATAGTGACGGGACTAAAGATCAGACCGCGGACGTATGCAAGGGCAGCGGACGCTGGTCATGGACAAGAGCCAAGTGAGGAAGACGTGAGTTCCACTGAGGACCAGGTAGCGGCCTTTCTCCAGTCAAAAGGCATTGCCCTGAACGTGGATTCCATCGAGGCATGTCACCCTCTTCCCAGGAGGAGAAAGGAGGATATACCAGCGGTGATTTTGAGGTTTGCGAACAGAAAAGTCAAGATAGCGCTGTTGAAACAAGGAAAGAAGCTGAGAGGAACGAATGTATATATGAATGATCACCTGACCCGGAAAAACGCGGAGATAGCAAGGAAAGCAAGGTTTCTAAAGAAGCAGAACAAAATCCAAGGTACATGGACTAATAATTGCAAGATCTTTATTAAGCTAAACGGGCCGCCAGAGGAGGCGAGGGTTTTGGTTGTTCGAAATATAAATGAACTGGACAGATTCACTGATGACTCTTCTGCACCTTCATCTTCGTGAACCATCATGGACCAAAGGTAGCAGGCACTGTTACAAAACATCACTATCTTCATACACAAAATGACTAATCTACAACAGAGGTGTGAAATGTATGATCAATGTAACATAAATGTAAACTATACTGAGCACAGAGAACAGGACATTGAAAATGAAATAGACCCAGATAATATGTTCTTTTTAATCTAAATGTGAACTGTAAATATTACACTTCAGGTGAACTTAACAATTTTCCAGATATATCCAACAAGCTTTCAATAATACACTTCAATAGCAGAAGTATGTATGCTAATTTCAATGAAATCAATGAGTATCTCAAACATTTGTCACAACCCTTTAACATCATAGCCATATCTGAAACCTGGTTTAATGTTGAGAAAGGAGTAAACTTTGAACTAGCAGGATATGATTTAAATTATGTGACTAGGGTAAATAAAATGGGGGGTGGGGTAGCATTATATGTTCAAACTAATCTAAGATTCAAGGTAGTCCCAAATTTGACAAGAGCAATTGATAATTTACTAGAGTGTGTAACAGTTGAAGTATATAATGAAAAAAATAAAAATGTATTAGTAAGCTGTGTGTATAGAGTCCCTGGATCAAGTATAGATCAATTCAACAACTGGATCGAAAGGACATTCTCTGAGAGTAGGAACAAGACTGTATATATTTGTGGTGATTTCAACATTGATCTAATAAATCCAAATTGTCATAGAGCTACAGATGAATTTCTTAATACAATGTATAGCATGGGTTTTTATCCAACCATTACCAGACCAAGTAGGATTACATCTCAGAGCGCTACCCTTATTGATAATATTTTTACAAACAATATATTTTCCTGCATGTCAAGCGGCTTGGTGATATGTGATATAACAGACCACTTGCCGGTTTTTTTGGTATCTGATACAAAATGCACTATAAGGCAAAACTTTATAGATCACAGCATGAAACGATTACAAAATGAAGATAATATAAATGCACTGAACAATGCTTTGATGCAGCAGGACTGGAACAACATTTACAGGGAAACAAATGTCGACAGAGCATATGAAATCTTCCTAAATACTTTCATTGCACTGTACAATCAATACTGTCCAATACAATATCACAGTAATAGAAAAAGGAACACAAAGTGTCCCTGGATAACCAGAGGACTAAAAAAATCATGTAAAAAAAAGAATAGGCTTTATGGAAAATTCCTCCGATTAAGGACACAAGAATCTGAAAGCAAATATAAGAATTATAAAAACATGTTAACACAGATTATAAGAGCAAGTAAGAAAATATATTATAAAAATCTATTGGATGTAAACAGAACAAATATCAAAAAAGTATGGGGCATATTAAATGGAATAATTAAAAATAATACTAATAAGGATACATACCCAAATTATTATATAGAAAAAGATAGTGAAAACTATAATATGAATGAAGTCGTCAATAGCTTTAACAAATTCTTTGTAAATGTTGGACCAGACCTTGCATCGCAAATCCCGGTGACTAACTGTAGTTCATCTAGCATTAGCAGAAATTTAGACACAATGTTTCTACCACCGGCTAGTGAAGATGAAGTAATTAGTGTTATAAATAGATGTAAAAATAAAACGTCAACAGACTGCAACGGAATTGGTATGACACTTATTAAAAAAGTTGCTAGGAGCATATCAAAACCACTTACATTTATCTGTAATCTATCCTTCTTAACGGGGTTATTTCCAAATAAAATGAAACATGCTAAAGTAATACCTATCCATAAAAATGATAACAAACACATTTTCACAAACTATAGACCAGTCTCACTTTTGCCCCAATTTTCAAAAATTCTGGAAAAATTGTTTGATAGCAGGCTTGAAACATTTATCGATAAACACAACATAATCCATGAAAGTCAGTACGGGTTTAGGAGGAACAGATCATCAACAATGGCTATAATTGAAGCAGTGGAGGAAATCACACAAGCCTTAGACAAGAAGAAATATGCAGCAGGGATATTCATAGATTTCAAGAAAGCTTTTGACACATTAAATCATAGTATACTAATCAATAAACTGGAATTATATGGAATAAGAGGAATTGCCCACAATTGGATCAAAAGCTACCTAACAGACAGAACGCAGTTTGTGAAAATGGGAAACTACACTTCTGGATACTTGAGCATAGCTTGTGGTGTTCCTCAAGGGTCAATATTAGGACCAAAATTGTTTAATTTATATATTAACGACATGTTTAGCATTTCCAGTTCACTAAAGATGATCCTGTTTGCGGATGATACTAATATTTTCTATTCAAATAATGACTATACCAATCTTATTAATACAATTAACTCGGAGCTAGCCAAATTAAAATCATGGATGGATGCCAACAAGCTCTCTCTGAATTTAAGCAAAACGAAAGTTATGATATTTGGCAACTACAAAATCAAATCAGATTTATTTATAAACATAGATGGTGTCAAAATTGATAGGGTGTCTGAAAACAAATTTCTAGGTATAATAATGGACGACAAATTGAACTGGAAACCCCACATCAGACACGTACAGACCAAGATCTCAAAATGCATTGCAATAATAAATAAAACCAAATATATCCTTGACTATCATGCTTTGAATTTATTGTATTGTTCGCTTGTGCTGCCCTACTTAAACTTTGGTATTGAGGTGTGGGGAAACAACTATAAAAGTCTACTACATCCCCTCAAAATATTACAAAAACGTGCAATAAGAACAATCAACAAAGTGGGCTATCTCGATCACACTAATGGTTTATTTTTAAAATCAAAACTCTTAAAAATTAGAAGACCTGGTTAATCTTAACACTGCACAACTGCTGTTTAGAGCTAATTCAAAAACTCTACCAGCCAATATTCAAAAGACATTTATTAAAAAAGAATATGAGCGTAACTTGAGAAGATGTAGTAACTTTAAACTCCCAGCCGTCAGGACCACAAGGAGGAGTTGGTGTGTATCTGTCTGTGGGGTGAAGCTCTGGAACAGCCTGAGCCAGGAGCTGAAGCAGTGCTCAAGTATCCAGCAATTCAAATCACATCTTAAAAAGATGATATGGACAAAATATGAGAGAGAAAAATACTAACAAATCACTACAGGGTCAATAGTAACTGTTTTGGGTATTACCAGTATGGGTATAAGAGCATTCATGATCACCATTAAAATAAAATACATAAAATAACAGGGTTACATATGTAGTTATGTATATGAAAACAGGTATATGTATGTTGTTGTGTGTGTGTCTGTATAGAGAACATTTAATATTTAATTTGTAGTTATGTATGTGATAATATGTGTATGTCTGCTTGTATGTTTATATTTCTGTATAGAGAACACTTAATATTTTATATATTGGTGTACTAAATGTAGAAATACGTGTGCAGCAGTGATTGGTGTTGCTTTGGTGGGCATTGGCGCAGTCTCTTAGGCTGGTTCTGTGTCTCGGGAGGTGGTTTCTGTGGTGGTGGCTGGTGGTGTGGAGGGGCAGTGGACCCATGTCATAGTGGCGTTCTGTGGACACGCAATCAGGAATGACCTCACTGTCTAGAATCCATTTGGACATACAAAAGAGTATGAATTGAAAATAAAATATGAAAAAAAAATATATATATATATGTGTAAAAGAACAAAAATTAAAGAAAGTATCTTCTGCCTGAAGGTGGAGCTAGGACAGTCACGGTGGTGATAATCGGCTCTATCCAAGGTAAAGGAACTGTAGAATTAATCAAATGCCTTTTCATTTGAAAGAATAAAACAATGGTATGAATGATCAGTGAGGTGGTTGCTCATGGTGTAGTTGGAGCCTGCTGTGCGTTGGACTATTGTTCCTCTGCATGATTGGTCTACTGCTGTGGCGGCTGCTTCTTGTGACTGGAGTTGGCCTGAGTTGGGGCGCTGGGCCTTGCTGGGGCACAGTGATCACTGTTACAGATGTAACTTTATAAAAGTATTAAATCGCACTGAACACGAGAAATTATTATTAAGGTATTATTTATTCAATGCTAAATAACAACATTCTTGCATGTTTTTGAATTATGTTTATGGGGTGGGAGTCGACAAGTTTTTACTTCCTTCCCACTCCATTTCGAGCTGACAAATTGTAAATAGAGGTTCATTTGTGTATTGATATTGCGATGTATAACACATGGTGTAACTAGGGAAACTATTGTTGCTTGATTGTATAGTTTGTTTATATATTTCTATGTATAAGTATAAACTGTAAGCACAGCAGGCAACATGTATGTATAAAGAATCATCTAAGGAATGTAAATATTGTAAATACTTATGATTGTAAAATTTCTGCTCGAATGAAAAAAAAATCAATCAATCAAATCAATCAATCAATCAGTTATTGTACATATGACATTAGTTATTGCACATATGACATTAGTTATTGCACATCCTGACATTAGTTATTGCACATCCTGACATTAGTTATTGCACATATGACATTAGTTATTGCACATATGGCATTAGTTATTGCACATATGACATTAGTTATTGCACATATGACATTAGTTATTGCACATATGACATTAGTTATTGCACATATGACATTAGTTATTGCACATCCTGACATTAGTTATTGCACATCCTGACATTAGTTATTGCACATATGACATTAGTTATTGCACATCCTCACATTAGTTATTGCACATATGACATTAGTTATTGCACATCCTGACATTAGTTATTGCACAGAAGCTCCACAGACCCCAGTGTTGGTTGTACTTACTGCTGTCCGCCAGACTGTCGGTGGAGGCAGTAGTGAGACTGACATTTCCCAACCCTCTCAGAGACGAACCTTCCACCGACACCAAACTGCTGCAGCGATCCAGCTCCATGTTGCTGCCGCTCATTCTCCCGCAGAGTCTGAAGGAAAAACCAAAACGTATTCAGACCAAGCCCCGAGCACAGACAGAGGACCAGCGGTGACAGAAAACCTGGTTCATCATGTGACACAAAGCACTGGTTCCAATTCCCCTTTTGTTTATTGTTTTTGAGGGCTTAGCTTCCTCAATTTAAGGGAGAAGCTGATACTGTAAACTGTGATTCAAAGAACTGTGTTTAATTTTAAATGTGATGCTCAAAAAGGCAACAGGAAGAGACGCACGAGAGAAGAAAGAGTGTGTTAGAGGCTGGTGCAAAGGAGACAGCGGACCGACATGGATAATAATAATAATAATAATAATAATAATAATGCATTGGTTTTATACAGTGCTTTTCAGGACACTCTTCACATGTCCTTATTCTTTCACTCCACAGCTGCCCTGGGGCACACTGACAGAAGCGAGGCAACCAGTCTGTGCCATTGGCCCCTCCCACCACCACCAACCACTCACACACACACCAGACTCATTCTAATGTGGGGTGACGAATATTCACAAAATGCTGCACATCAGACAAAGGAATATGCACTCAGGAATCATAGAGATGACCAGCTTACAAAACCAGACAATTATTGACTCCAAGAATAAACAAATGCTCTCTCCCACTCTCGACGAGGGCAAAAGTCCAACACAATCAGGCGCCCAGTGGTGGGGGGCATTGTTTGCTCAGGTGGAGATGGAAGACCGGGTCCAGACCAGGACCAGGGGCCAGACCAGTCCCAGATCTGTGACGTCATCGGACCCTTTGATAGAAACTGCTGGGAGGAGATTGTCAGTCAGTCAGCCGAGGGCCAGAGAGAGGGACATGCATAGTTTTAGGAGCACATTTTTGTTGAATATTCTGTATCTGATTGTAAAGATAATTAAATGCAGATGTTAAACTTGGAGAATCTTTTTGTCTGATTTCTGTATCAAATTGTGGACACGTTAGCCAAAGGGAATTATTGGCTACATTTGGTGACCCCGACGTGATTTGATACAGAAAGAAGACGGAGATGAGCTCAGTTATAGAGACTGGATTTGTGGGTTTGGAAAAATCTCTCTGCTCTTCAAAAAGGTCGCTTCTAAGGTAAGCGGATCACAGTTTTGAAAATCTGCACATTGTTTTAAATAGAAGAGAGAGAGATTTTGGCTCGACAGATTGCAGCGTGGCCAGACGACCGCCGTGACGGGGCGTTCTATCGGACGCGATAGAACAATAGTCAGGTTTAGACGTTTTTAGCCTTGGGGGAAGCATTGGTCCCTCCTTAAAAAAACAGAACATAGATGTTGAAAAGAGAGCCACAGGATTTATAAGTGCGAAAGAGGCACACCGTTTTAAGGTGCAAAAGAGGCACAACTGTTTAGATAAATAGGATTAGAGAGATAGGGATAGTTAGGGTCAGAAGTGATAGGATAATAAAACCTTCTATATCCCCCGGGGGCGGAAAAAAGGGTACAATTAATTTAAACAGAAGAAAAGCCAAGTATTATTTAAAATGTGGATTCTGATAATAATGATCTGATTAATGAGGAAAAAGAGAGCCTCTTGGCTGTAGTATACGAGTTTCATGTGAAGAAATGATCAGTTATGGAAGTTTTTCTCTTATTCTGATGTAATGTTTAATAGTTACAGAGAATCAAAAAAAAAGAGATTCTGCTGGGACTGTTAGACATGTAAGCAAATAGTAATGTTTTCCATTACTGACGTATTTAAGGATAAAATGTAAAGTGTCGTTTGACGTGAGAAAAACTTTTACCACTGATTAAAACCATATCACGATAAAAACTAGGAAAATGTGGCAAAAGGGGGTGTATTTCAATCATCCATGTGTTCCTTTGTTCGAGAAGCCACTCAGCCCCTCCCCTCCCTCTCTCTGTCTCTCTCTCTCTCTCTCTCTCTCTCTCTCTCTCTCTCTCTCTCTCTCTCTCTCTCTCTCTCTCTCTCTCTCTCTCTCTCTCGTGAAGACAGAACTATTACCAAAGACATTTTTTGATTTGTAGAAAATTACATTTATACACACGATAATGTTACTGACATGGAGTCATAGGATCACAGAACTTTGAGTTAGATTATAAAGAGGCATTATTTTATTTTTTATTTTTTATCTCCAAGGCGTCTAGACAAGTTTTTTTCCCTACATTTTGGTGATATAAAAGTTAGAATGATCTTAGAGAGCATTATACTTTTGGAAAAATAGGGCTTAGGATAGCAGTTGAATGCAGATTTGGTTTTCAGAATTTAATGTCTAAAATGTTAATATTAATTATTTCATAGGTTTATTTTGAATTGTAATTAATCATTGGTTTCGTATGGTAATTAACACACTTGTTTGTGCTTCTTGTTTGTCTGTTTTTTCCGAGAAAACTTCTGTCTGTTTCATTTGGCCAAAAATCGTCTCTGCCACAAACCACAATCGAGCGCCATCAGCACGGACCATCAGCGTCTCCCCCAGACCCACAGGGGGCACCAAAGACTGCAGCATCGGCTGCAGCAGCTAACAGGAACTCTCGAAGAAGACCTCTCCGGCCTCCATTTCATGGAGAAAAACCAGACTTTTGCACAAACCGAGTGGAGTTATGTGCACGGAGAAGAACGTTGTGTAAACCTAACAAGAAGAAGAAGGACACACACTGAGACAAAGAAAGACATGAGAAAGTGATTGAAAGAAGAAGAGAGAAAGTGATTGAAAGAAGAAGAAAGAAAGTGATTGTTTAAAGAAGAAGAAAAAGACATTGAGACAAAGACATTGGACACTATGAGACAAAAGACATTGAAAGACGCCATGAGTAAAAGAAAGACATTAACGGACATTTGAGGAAGACGTGGCTGGCCTAAATGAGACACACAGAAGGTAAATATACAGACAGGCAACAAACGCACAGAGACATATTAAGTCATATTTACACATTTAGGTCATTCGTTCATAACACCACATTTAGCTGCATGAAAGAATACAGGACAATCGTTAAAATTAATTAGACTCTTGCTTTAGCATGAGACACAAGGAGATTAGAACAGCAGTATATTTAAAGTAGAGGAGCTCTATTATTGAAACTAGTATTATTTAAAGTTATAGACGCGGAGAAGTTTAGAATTATTGATTTTGACTGCATGATCTTGGTAATACGGATATTTAAAGCAGTGTTTTCAACCTCTGAACCGTGGCTCGTTTCTCATTTAAGAACAATCACATGCACAGTTGAAACTGGTGCTAGAAAGAGAACTGCAGCTTTTAATGGACGCTGCATTTAGTACAAAATGGTTTGTTCAGACAAATTAAAGTTTGAAAAATGATTTAAAGCATTTCTGAATTTTGGCTAAAGGTGATATTGGATCATTTCTGATAACACATAGACGCAACACTGTTCATTGGTTGAAAACAAAGATGTAGGGACATTTTTTGAAATCTTTTATGACATGTTTCTCTTCCAAATAGCTAAATTAGAAACAATTAGGACAATTATGTCTTTGATAACTGTTGGCAGTTTATCTGAGACATGATTGGTGCAAGTACACACACATAAAACAATGGTCTTTTCTCCACATGAACGTGAAACAAAGGTGAAGTATTAAAGTTTGAAACTAATTTACATTTTTTAAGGAATCCGAACTGGCTTTAAAAAAAAAAGGGAAAAACATTTATTGCACGTGCATGAGTTTTTTTTTTAAGTAACAAGAGCTCATTAAAGATATAGGGGACACAGTCTGTGACAAGCCCGAGTACAGACCACGTGGTTTAAAAACTAAAGTTTGAAATGGATCCTTGTAGGAAAAACCTATTAAAAGCTCTGCATATTTTGCAGGCTCTGAAAGTTGCAACAATAGAAATAGCTCATGAGACAATTGTAATTGGACATGGAAAAATATAACAAAGTTAAAACTACAGGCCTTCTGTGTTATATGTTTGTGTGTGTTATATGTTTGTGTATGTTATATGTTTGTGTATGTTATATGTTTGTGCGTCATGTCAAGTACACTACGTTGACCTTAACAAACTCTGGACCAAAATACTAACGTGGGGAGTCGGCCTGAGTGAGTGATGCGAGTGTGGAGTGAAATGAGGAGTGAACGAGGAGTGCTGAACGGAATCATGGAATAACAAAAGTTTTATGTAATGTTTTAATGTGATCATGGAATAATTATGTTTTGTCAACAGCATACGGTGTAAGTACTAGAGATTCAAAGATAACAAGCTTTATTGAACAGGTGTAAAAGTGAGAGTACTCTGGGATGAGTACTCTGAGAAAAGTACTCTGAGAAAGTACTCTGAGATGAATACCTTGCTGAAGGTACTGGGTCCTCTGCTGTTTGTCCTGACAGTGATTCGGTCCAACCGCAGTGAGCTGTCGTTGGTTGAAGGACAACTTTGGTTTGTAATTCACATTTAGGGGAGTATAAAATTAGAAACATACATATTGTTAAGTCTGTATTCGGCTACAGCCTCTGCCCTGATGCCACACACCGTCTGTCAATGTAGTTATGTTTTGCCCAATTGGATTGATTGACAGGCTGCACCATGCGAAGAGAGGAAAGTGGGTGTTTCTTGTGTTCTAATGTTTCTTTTTCAGATGAAAGATAAACTGCACCTGCTTCAGGGATAACACAGTAGTATGGATCATAAGGAAATGAGCCTCTACTTTGGCACCAAAGCCCACAATATGAATTGAGGACGATCCGGGAGGAGCAACAGGATTGGAACAGTAATCTACACACACACACAGATGCATGTTTTATACTTTGGACCACGACCAACAGAGGGGAGTATTGTATTGTCATAGGTGGTCATGGTCCTTAACCTTCTAAATCATTAGAAAGAAGTGTAAAACATATATTTACAAGAACAAATAAATAATAGAAAGGGCAGCCTAAAAAAGAAAAATGGGAAAATTATTAAGTAATTTTCGGAGTTGCCAAAATGAAATAAAATTCTATATTTGTCCCATAGGGGGTCATTCTAAATTTAGTGTTGTGCAAATTTAAAAGGAGAAATAATAGCGCTT